AGCATGTTAAGGTTCAGTACTATTATACGTATATCTTTGTCCGTTGCTATGCGCAAAGAGTTAAAGTAAATAATATTTTTTGTAGAATTTTCCATATTTATAATTCACCCTGTTTTGACATTAGAAAAAATATATGTTAAGGAGAGGGGTGCAAGATATTGTAATATTTTGCCGTTAAATCTATGTTGATGTTTATACAATTTCATTAATGTTAGTGACATATTTTCAATTATCACCCAAATGTTATTTGAAGTCGTACACAAGTATTTCAGTATTAAACCTTTTTTTTTCATCTACTAAGTAGGCGAAAGGAGATTTCATATTTCTATTCGCCCCTTTATCGTTAGGCTTTCGATCACAAGTAAGTTGTCCTAAAATTGCGGAACAATTAAAAATATTATGCATTATATTTTGCACCCATCCCAACCCACTTCGTAACAAAATCAACACACACCCTAATACACAACTATTTTAGTTTTAAACTAAAAACATTAACAAAAAATTCTTAGCGAAAACAACATTTAACATATTATATCTTAAATTCTCCTTTCTCTACAAACTATTTACAATTCAAAGCATCGGTGGTGAGTTTAAGTAAAAAGAAGAATATACATTTGTCTTTTTTTTTAAATACAAGAAAAGTTATATCAAAATGTCAAACTTTTATTTAAGTATAATAAACAATATTGTAAAAGTCTATATATTTTTTTTATATTCGAAGAACCCACTTCAAGACATTATCACTGTTAACAGAAAAAACTTGTCTTCTTATTACGTATAGTAATAAAGGTGATTAAGAAACTTCCGTTAATTCTTATTATTTTATACAAAAAGAAACTAATATAAAAAATTAACTTTAATTTAATGTTACTCAGATCTTCACAAATGAACTTGACACAAACAAGAGTATCAATGCGTTTAAAAAGAATGAGTTAAGACAGAAATATTCTTATCTGTCGTGTTGTGTTGTGACGCGATCGTGTTCATACGTTTAGTACGTTACAAACAGGAAAGATGCGGCACACGCGGTTCAAAAGTGATTCGCTTAAATTGTGGTACATGACCACAATTCGCTTTAGTCACAATAGGGTATTTGACAAGTTTTAGAAATTGATCTCACGTTATTGATTAATGTTTATGGAGTCCGTAAAAAGTGGATATTCATCATTCTGTTGTGTATTTCAGTAAAAAAAAAACAAATAAAAAACTCCATTTTCAAGTTGCCACGAAAACGTTCCTCTGGGCAAGCGTCTTACTAGTGTGTGACGTTGATCGTTTGACGTTTTAATAACACGACTGTTATTAAAACGTCAAACGATACAATGTAATGTCACTGTAACCGGAAGTTTACTTGCGTGTGACGTCATTTTAGGCTCCGCCAATCCCAAGCGTTTTGAGTCACGTGACAATAGATAAGAAAACTATTATCTTTTTCGTTAGTTTTTAGTAAAATTAAGAATATTTTTTTTGTAAAAATAGTAAAAACCCCTGCCAATATTCATTCTAAACACAGATGCCAACAATTGGCACTTTATTTTTAACACTCTCAAATACCCTATTGGACATTCAAACACGCTGCATGTGCTATATAACAATATTGCGTATATTCTGTGTTATAAAGATAAAACAATGCCTTCGGTGCTTTTATAAACAACACAAATAGTTCAAGATTAAATAAAAAAAATCATGGCAACACTTTTCATTCTTACGAATGAAACTATGAAATTTTTTTTTTTCTCAATAATCACGGTTTGTCATGAATGTTATTTAGTTTTTCGCCATTTGTTATCAAGAAAAGGACATCAATACAGCTCAGCCGTTTGTAGAAAGAGGATATAAAACGCAGTCGCCAAGCTAAGCGAAGCGGACTCGCCGTTTCGCTCGCGCTGCGTTGAAGCGTACAGTTCCGTTTCGCTCGCTCGACTGAATGTTTATTTACAAAAGTGTGCGTGACGAGAGTTGCTTATGTAGTTGTTTCGGTTCATATTTTATTTGATGCTAGTATGAGCGTACTGTATCTTCCCTTTTTGTTTTAATCCAAGCTTGTGCGTCGCATTGTCCTCACTCCAACCATTAATAAATGTGTGAAACAGATAACTCTCTGATGCGTCACAACACAACACGACAGATAAGTGTAATTTCTGCCATTACTCTCTAACCCCTCGTTTAAACCAAGTTATAATAATACATATTTGTTTCTTAGGTTTTCACGCACATCACTCATTAAATAAAACTAGTTTTTACGGGTTAATGCACGAAACTTTATGATGACGTAGCCTGTAAAGGCTACGAAACGTCAATAAATAAATAAAGTTTCGTGCATTAACCCGTAAAAACTAGTTTTATAATAATACATACATGTATTTAACAGTTTAATACAATGTCTTCAAATTTTGTTCACTTATATACACATGTATATAACATGTTGTATACAAAACTTGTATCAAACTTGTTGGATAAACAAAATATGTGAAGTGAATGAGTGATTGATACTTACAATTTTTATTTTTTAAGCATGTAACTGCTTGATGTTAAACCTAAAGAAAATATAACTAGAAAAATAATTCAGCGCGCAGGGAGATGGCGCTGCCTTGCAGCTTACGAATGGCTAGAAGAATTTCGACATAATTGGTCAGTGCATTCGCCCGGATAGCGAAGGGTGCGGGTTCGAGTCATGTCTGCTGATTGATACTTTTCAAGATTCTAGTTGTCTATGCAGTGTAAACGAAAAAATGTTTTAAACAACCACAACAAGTATTCTCCAAGTTTTGTATAAAACTAGTTTATGCCTATTTGTTTCTTAAGTTTCACGCACATCACTCGTTAAATAAAACACGTTTCAACGGGTAAGATGTACTTATTTTATTTGTTTATTGAAGTTTCGCAGCCTTTTCAGGTGAGCGACGTCAGACTAATGATTTTATGTACTTTATCGAGCTACCTCCAACCAAAAAAGTCTTTCGAAGGTAGCTCGACAAAGTAAATAAAATCATTCGTCTGACGACGCTGACCTGAAAAGGCTGCGAAACGTCAATCTATATATATAAAACTCAAAGGTGACTGACTGACTGACATAGTGATCTATCAACGCACAGCCCAAACCACTGGACGGATCGGGCTGAAATTTGGCATGCAGGTAGATTTTATGACGTAGGCATCCGCTAAGAAAGGATTTTGATCAATTCTACCCCCAAGGGAATAAAATAGGGAATGAAAGTTTGTATGAAACTTTGTCAATTTTAAACCGATCGGGCTGAGACTTTGCATGCAGGTTTAAGAAGAATCATAGATGAATGTCATTGTGTATAATACAAGCCTGAGAACAAAAATTGTAGTCTACGAGGGAGCGAGGGCGGGCCGCTAGTAAACAAATAAAATAAGTACATCTTACCCGTTGAAACGTGTTTTATTTAGTTTATGCCTAGTTTCTTGGTGTAAACGAGGGGTAACATGTGTTTAAATAAGAAAGTAGTAATTATTATGTTTATTGCACAACTAATATTTTAATCTTAAATTTGTACAAAACCGCCGTTTTCCTTAGATCCAGCCAACGATTTAGAAATAATATGCAAAAACGAACTGCACTAAAAAGTGGTACCACACAAACTGCCATCAAGTGGGCGGGGCGAAAAAAACTGCTATCAATACGCCGATCGTGGGATTGGTTAGGACAGAGTTCCCCAAACTTTTTTGTGTCGTAGACCCCTTGCCATGTTTTTCCGTGTTGAGTAGACCTACCCCCCCTACTTACCTGATATTGATTTTTTTTCGCTGACGTAGACCCCTTGCAGGTTGTCATAGACCTAGGGGTCGATATAGACCACTTTGGGAACCACTGGGTTAGGATGTCTATTTAATATTATCTTACTCAATGAATAGATAGCCGAATATATATATATATATATATATAGTATATTATAGTATTACATATCCTGGACAGGTTTTTGGTTAATAATGAAAGAATAAAAGATCAAAGCATATAAACATTAAAAATAGCAAGTATCAAGATCAAAGGCCATCTTAATACTGATAGCCGAATTAATTTGGGGATATTTGATTTGTCAAAGTATTTTGTTTTGTCCGTGTTCGTGTCGCGTTAGCATTGAAGTTAAGCCGTATAAGTTTGGAATCATGTGTCACGGCCTTTGGTAGAGAGTAATGCTTCCATATCATTTCTAATTCGTTGGATCCAGACTATAGAAGTTATATTTTGTTTTACTGATAAGATCTTCTTCTCTTAATATGAAACAGTAACGCATCACAGCCAAAAGGTAGTGTGTTTTACTGTGGTCTTCCCTCAGAATAAGAACTAAACCATAGAAAGAGTTTAAATTAAACTCATATAGTTATATTTTTTAAGCATTTAACTGCTAGATGTTTAAATCTAAAGAAAATTTTACTAGAAAAAATTCCACGCGGTCCAGGCAGCAGACGGGACTCGGACCGGCACCCTCCGCTATTCGGGCGGATGCACTGACGATTATGCTATCACAGTCCTAATTGTCCGTGTCAAATTTTCTCTAGTATTTCTTGGTCTGCAAGGCAGTGCCATCTCTTCGCATTGTAGGTAACCTACATTTACAATTATTTTTACTAATAGACCAAAAAGAAGCATATAGTATATGTTGCTATTAAAAGCGTGGCTACCGCTATACAAAATTCAAATTGAATTCCTTGGTCACCTTAGCGATAGCGAATCAAAAAGCGATCTAATGTCAAATGCAACCTGCCAACACGCCACCAACACTTTTTAGTTGGGTAATACTTTGTTTGGAAATCTTTTCGTTAATCCCTTGTCTATGGGAGTGTACGCTCAAATGACATATCATTACTTATATGCTTTTGTTCTTATTCTGAGGGGCGTCGATATGTTATATGTATGAGTGATCTGTTTCTTTCATTCGTAGGTTAGACAATAAAAGTCTAAGCTCGATTTAGTTCAACACTAAATAGTTGGCGTGTTTTGTCTAGAATTCAGATATTTTATAAATATTAGAGAAAATAATCTAAATTGACCATTTGTTTTTGATGTCCGTACAATGGTCATAGAAATTATTTATAAACATTACATTTAATGTAAGTAGTAATAAAAAAACAAACTTGACAGTTGCGAGCCACATAAATAAATAGGGGTGATGACGGGTACAGTAAATGAAATTCTATTTAGTCCGTCAGTTAGATGATCAAAATATAATGGACACGTATTTTTCTTTGGGCAATCAACCAAAAAATGATAAAGTTATAGCGCGTCAAAGTTTGGGAGTAGGGGCTCGTGACGTCATACGACTTTTGACAAATCAATATATCTCTGCAATGTTTATATTATGTGAAAAAATAAAAAATACGTGTCCAATACTTTTTGATAATCTACCTGATAAACGAAGAAAAAAAATAGTCATCATCCCTATTGCAGCCAAGTGTTAATAATATACAAAAACTAAAGTTTATAAAAAGTCCGTAATGGTAATATAATTTGTAAAGGTCAAATATATCATAAAGGTTTCATCAAAATCGAAGTCCAATATTGTGATGATGATTATAATTTATATATTTATCTAATCAACAAAAATCAACAAGCCGCCCTCACGTCAGTACGATGAACTTTTTCTTCTAATATTGATGTTTCATCTGTACTCAATATTTTTTTATACGAAAAAGTAATATATACTCTTAATTTATAAAAATAATCTTAAGGAAATAAACTAATGAAGATCATAGTAATTATGTTACGTCAGATTTATAACAGAAAAATACGAACATAAAATGCTTGCTAAAACCATTTGGACGTAATTGTACCTGTACGAGAAATAGGAAAAAAAAAGAAATGCTTACGACAACACCCATTGGTCCGTGCTAACACATACATATCATTTCATATAAAATATACAACTATGTGTAACTAAACTATATTTTTACGACATAATATACAACAAGTAAGCTAGTTTCAATATATCATTTTGTGTATTTTAAGGATTTTACCGAGACGCTGCTTGGCCGTCTTCATACCCTTTTTCAGTCTTGAATCTGTGGAAAAAACTTGGATATATATAAACGTAATTCAAAAAAATTCAATAAAAATTCAAAAAATTCAAAATTCAATTTCGTTTATTCAGTCTAGGCTGTTACAAGCACTTGTGAATGTCGAAAAGCTACGCCATCGGTTCGCAAATCTACGGCGGGAGACCTTATACTTCTCAGTATAAGGTCTCCGGCAAGAAACTTAGCAAGGGCTGTTTTTGTTCTCCCTGTATTATATACAGAGTCGTCAAATTGAAAAATTACTACAATATGAGGTAACTCATAAAGTCACTTTCCATTACAAACGAAAAAAAAAATGCAAATAATATAAAAATTATGACTATAAAATAAAAATATACATACATATATAAAAAACTGGTTTAACAAAGTTTAGGAATGACGTGTCCTACTGTTTAGGCATATACACGTAAGGAAGAGTTATTTTATTGAAAAGAAAAAACAGTATGGTATTATAGAAGAAGGACAACAGTTAAACACATTGTACAAAACACTTATCATAATAAAAGATGACTTCATGGTATTATATTTGATATTATGCTAACTTCAAATGTCATGTCATAGGTTCATTAACAGATATGATATGAAGTAATGTATGAATGAAATTGAAAGGGACTTACTCTTGTTATTTGGCGTATTCTGTACAGGCGGTGGCGGCCGCTTGCTTTTTGTCGCTATGACTGCCCGTTTCGCATTCTGAAACAAAAATTTTAATTACCATATCTATTCGTTAAAAAACATTTTAATCAATATATGTATTTGTTTAAATGACACACCAATAACTGTATCAAAGTTCTTATTGACGACCTCCGTGGCCGAGTGATTTGTACGCCGGGTTTCATGGTGTCGCCGACTCGAGAGGTCTCGGGTTCGAATCCCGGTGGGGGCAGATGTTTGTGTGATGAACATGAGCATTTGTACTCCAGTCATGGATGTTTAATATGTATTTCTATATAAATATACTTATATATGTACAGTATATGTATTCTATCCGTTACCCTAGCATCCCATAACACAAGCCTTATAGTGCTTACTTTGGGGCTAGGCTAATTGGTGTGTGTTGGAAATATTTATTTATTATATACAAAGAAAAAAAAATCTCAATCCTTTAGCCCTATTTGCCAACTGCTTTTGACGGATGAAAATGATAATCACCGAGCTATTTAGCGATCAACTACTGCTTTATTATAACGCCACTAAGATACTTGTTCTGAAAAGAATCGATGGATATGCAATTTTCTCTTAAGTAACACTGTAAATTAAACAAGTTTCAACGGTATAGATGCACTGATTTACTTATTTATTGACTTTTCGCATCGTTTTCAGGCTGCGTCGGCGTCGTCAGAATTATGATAATTCTGGGGTCGCTGACTTCTGACGACGGCGAATTATGAAAATTCGGTATTATCCGGTGATTGGTGATATCTCCGACGTAGATTAGGCTTGACTGAATAATGCTAAACGCTTAATGAAACTATTAATTGACAAAGTATACTATAATACACAAGAGTTCCTTAGTGACACTTCCTTGAAAAAAATGGACATAATTACGTAATTAACTTATATTTTAGTCTATTATAGCACAATTTATTATTATTATTAGTTTGACATATTGCTTAGTAATTTTGACATTTAATTCTATCTATGACTTGTTTTATTGTAATTGTAATTTATTAATATGGATTTTTATATAATTGTAAACCTAATTATTTCATAAAAAAATATTGTATACCTTGTAATAAGGTCGAAATGTAGTGACACTAAACTTTTATCCTAACACCAATTTGCTGTACTAACCTACATTTCACAATAAAGCATTTGAATTTGAATTTGAATTTGGGCCTACCACACGCACGAGCTTCACCACAGTTTTGCCTGCGCAGGCCGGTTTGTACACGGAACACGGTGCGTGTAGTTGGTAAAACTGTATCACGCGCCAACCCCACAGCGCGGCCTGCGCACTTTACGACTTGCTTGAAATTTTGCCTGCGCAAGCTCGGCCTGCGCGTACTTGTCTGTGCGTGTGGTTGGGCGTTCAGTGTTCAAGCCACAGTCACGGTAATATTATCTATACAGTATTGTGACTCCGCCCTGTCCTTGAAAATAAATGCCTACACCGAGCGCTGCGTTGGCACGCGGTAGGGCCGCCAGCCTACAGTATTTTATGTAGTTTTGTTTTTAACGCGAGTGTAGGTAGATTATTCGTTTGTCTCTTTTTTCATCCTAACCACTTACAAATTTATATATTATTCCAGATATTTTGCCCGATGGAAAAACCGAAATACCTAAATATTAGCAACAAATAAAGTACAAGTAGGTAGGTATATAAAAAATATTCTATAAAGGTAAGATACCTTTCCAATATTTCAGGTAATTTAAAAAATGATATCTCTGGGTGTGTTATTGAAGAGTTCAAGCAACCAAAAACAGCAATTGTGCTGTTGTACGATATTGATCGTCATTTGTTCTTTTCCATACTAAATTATGTAGGTATCTACTTAATTAAATCAAATATTTACAATACAAAACGCACGTTTAAGCACGGCTAACTGCATAAAAATCAATTCAGACCGTTCGGTCGTCGTTGCGGCGCGGCGGCGCATTCGCGACTGGGTGCACGCCGAGAGCACATCCAACTCGAGTGGCGAGGTATGACTCGCTTTCCGACCGTTTGTATGAAGATAGAATACTGTATGATATTATTACCGTGCCACAGTCGAGTGTACTTTGTGTCGAGGCTCGCTCGTCGTTTCATGAGGTCGTTCGTCATCGTCACTCAAAAATGGCAGATTTGCGTACGTATAATCGCGAATTCACGTCTGAATTAATTAGTTTATTAAAATCTCTGCCTGCACTCTGGAAAATTAAATCTAAAGATTATTCCGAACGAAATAAAAAGAACGACGCCTACGAAAGACTGATTAATAAAATGAAAGAGGTAAGAACATAATTTTTGCAACTAAATACCTATGCTTAATACCTACTACCTACCTACTTGCACATATTATGTACATATCCTATCGTTTTTACATGTTTTTTTTAATAGCAAACACTTGAAAAATAGTAGCTTAAGAAATGTTTCTTCATTAGGAAACATTGTTTCCACGCCAATGATTTCGATAAGAATGAGGCTTGCGCGTACTTAACTGTGCCGTGTGGTAACGCACAAAGTGTACAGTTTTTTCGTGCGAGATGCTTGCGCAGGCCGAACTGTGGTGAAGCTTGTGCGTGTGGTAAGCACATAACATGCTCAGTTTGAGGAGCTCGATGACGCAGGTGGTTAGCGTTGTTTGGCTGCGATCGTTGAAGTTAAGCAACTTTCGCAGTGGTCGGTCATTGGATTGGTGACCAAAAATCTTCTATCTCGAGTTCCTCCGTGCTCCGTACTGGGGCACGCGTGGGTCGCGTGCCCACCCTCGTGCCTGTATACCTGCGCCGCGTGCGGTGCGTGCGCGGCGTGCTGCAGGGCGGCGCGCACACACTCGCGGCGCACGTGGGGGCGCGCGGGGCCACACGCGACCCACGCGTGCCCCAGGGGCCCACCCTCGTGCCTGTATACCTGCGCCGCGTGCGGTGCGTGCGCGGCGTGCTGCAGGGCGGCGCGCACACACTCGCGGCGCACGTGGGGGCGCGCGGGGCCACACGCGACCCACGCGTGCCCCAGGGGCCCACCCTCGTGCCTGTATACCTGCGCCGCGTGCGGTGCGTGCGCGGCGTGCTGCAGGGCGGCGCGCACACACTCGCGGCGCACGTGGGGGCGCGCGGGGCCACACGCGACCCACGCGTGCCCCAGTGGCCCACCCTCGTGCCTGTATACCTGCGCCGCGTGCGGTGCGTGCGCGGCGTGCTGCAGGGCGGCGCGCACACACTCGCGGCGCACGTGGGGGCGCGCGGGGCCACACGCGACCCACGCGTGCCCCAGTGGCCCACCCTCGTGCCTGTATACCTGCGCCGCGTGCGGTGCGTGCGCGGCGTGCTGCAGGGCGGCGCGCACACACTCGCGGCGCACGTGGGGGCGCGCGGGGCCACACGCGACCCACGCGTGCCCCAGTGGCCCACCCTCGTGCCTGTATACCTGCGCCGCGTGCGGTGCGTGCGCGGCGTGCTGCAGGGCGGCGCGCACACACTCGCGGCGCACGTGGGGGCGCGCGGGGCCACACGCGACCCACGCGTGCCCCAGGGGCCCACCCTCGTGCCTGTATAACTGCGCCGCGTGCGGTGCGTGCGCGGCGTGCTGCAGGGCGGCGCGCACACACTCGCGGCGCACGTGGGGGCGCGCGGGGCCACACGCGACCCACGCGTGCCCCAGTGGCCCACCCTCGTGCCTGTATACCTGCGCCGCGTGCGGTGCGTGCGCGGCGTGCTGCAGGGCGGCGCGCACACACTCGCGGCGCACGTGGGGGCGCGCGGGGCCACACGCGACCCACGCGTGCCCCAGTGGCCCACCCTCGTGCCTGTATACCTGCGCCGCGTGCGGTGCGTGCGCGGCGTGCTGCAGGGCGGCGCGCACACACTCGCGGCGCACGTGGGGGCGCGCGGGGCCACACGCGACCCACGCGTGCCCCAGTGGCCCACCCTCGTGCCTGTATACCTGCGCCGCGTGCGGTGCGTGCGCGGCGTGCTGCAGGGCGGCGCGCACACACTCGCGGCGCACGTGGGGGCGCGCGGGGCCACACGCGACCCACGCGTGCCCCAGTGGCCCACCCTCGTGCCTGTATACCTGCGCCGCGTGCGGTGCGTGCGCGGCGTGCTGCAGGGCGGCGCGCACACACTCGCGGCGCACGTGGGGGCGCGCGGGGCCACACGCGACCCACGCGTGCCCCAGTGGCCCACCCTCGTGCCTGTATACCTGCGCCGCGTGCGGTGCGTGCGCGGCGTGCTGCAGGGCGGCGCGCACACACTCGCGGCGCACGTGGGGGCGCGCGGGGCCACACGCGACCCACGCGTGCCCCAGTGGCCCACCCTCGTGCCTGTATACCTGCGCCGCGTGCGGTGCGTGCGCGGCGTGCTGCAGGGCGGCGCGCACACACTCGCGGCGCACGTGGGGGCGCGCGGGGCCACACGCGACCCACGCGTGCCCCAGTGGCCCACCCTCGTGCCTGTATACCTGCGCCGCGTGCGGTGCGTGCGCGGCGTGCTGCAGGGCGGCGCGCACACACTCGCGGCGCACGTGGGGGCGCGCGGGGCCACGGCTGCGGGGGGACACGCGACCCACGCGGGCCCCGGGGGACCAGCACTCGTCCCTGACGAGAACGAGATTTCATATAAATTAAATAAAGTTCTACACTTCAACTTTCCATCGACAATTTGGTAGATAATGGATTGTATAAACAATTAAAGCTAAAAACTGTCCGCGTAAGTTTAGACTTATGCAGCTCCAATCGATTCCCAATGAACCTCTGTAAATGTTTTAAAAGAGTTCAAGTTGAACCTAATAACAACTATCTCATAAATAAATAAGGTTACAAAAAAACGAGCGAGCCTTACAGTACTCGCGTATGATGTGTAACATTTGAAACCTCACCTTATATTAGTAAAAAAAGAAATAAAACCTACTACAAAACGAATAAGCCATTTGAACATGACCGACCTATCTCATTACTGTCTGGTTTCTCTAAGCTTTTCGAAGCACTTGTTTGTCAGTATTTCGCTAATACTTTTAAATCTGTTCTTGCTTCGCAACAACATGGTTTTTGCCGGAAAATGTCTACTGTCACTAATCTCCTGCTTTATAACGGATTTGTCAGAGGAGCTAGACCGGGGCCGACAGGTGGACGCTATATACACCGATATAAGTAAAGCATTTGATAGGGTTAACCATATAATATTATTAAAGAAGCTTCATTCAGTCGGTGTGCATGGTTCCCTCTTGAATTGGTGCCGATCTTATCTTGTTCGGAGGTGTCAAAAAGTTGTTGCATGTGGCTATGAGTCGAGTCCCTTATCCGTTCCGTCAGGCGTCCACCAGGGTTCTCATCTAGGACCTATTTTCTTTTTAATATTTATTAATGACCTTGTCAATGTCGTTCAAGATTCGGAATGTTTACTGTTTGCAGATGATTTAAAAGTTTACAAAACAATTGAAAATTTTAATGAATCCATATTACTGCAACAGGATCTCAATAGAATAGCTGAGTGGTCTTCAATTAATAAACTTCCATTGAATCCGGATAAATGCAAACACATAAAATTCACAAAAAAGCGCAACGCTTTAAATACATCATATTCTATCAAATCCCATCCTTTAGAAGAAGTTTCGAGCATTCGTAATCTGGGGATTGTTTTAGACCGTAAGCTTACTTTTCATCATCACTATGATCACATCATAGCAAAATCTTTAAAGCTTCTTGGTTTTATATGGCGTAACTGCAAGCGTTTTAAGAAAATTGATGCTCTAAAGTATGCTTACTTTGCATTGGTGCGCAGTTCACTTGAGTATTGCTCGAGTATTTGGAATCCTAAATACAGGGTGGCCGGGGAGTTGACGTTCAAAAGTAAAATTAAGATACTCTATGATGAGGAGTATCAAAATCACCCCCATGTATGTTCTACGATTTTGCGTACTTTTCGAGTTATAATTTTTTTAAAGTTTTTTCGTAATTTTCACCTAACATCGGTTTTCGATTTTTGAAGTTATACTTCTTTAGGCGCGTTATGAAAAAATGATGAGAGTGAAATTTTAAGATGCGCGCGCATCACTGTAACACAAAATTTTAACAGCATGAAGTTGGTCGCTTTAGCGACCAACTTCATGCGTTACTTTTGTGTTTACCGCACATTAAGAAAATCTACCAACAAAATAGAATCTCTATTTAGTGGGTGCTAACGACTGCATTGTGAAGGCCTATCAAAAGTATTTATTAATCTGGAACAACGGAACCAAAGCGCGATTCAGGAGACTACAGCGCCATCTCTTGACCATTGGTGTAGTAGAACCAAAAACCACATCTTTATTTTTTGTAATAAAGTAACAGTTATAGGTATTCATATTTATAATATTTATCCACATGTTTCTAGTTTGCATATTCGGAATACGTGTTTGAGTTTCATACAAGTGCAAATCACATATGTTCTAATAAATTATATTCAGTAGCGATTTTAATTGAATATTTTGATTATTTATTTATTTTTTCAAATTAAAACTGAACTTTATTGACTATGTCCTTTTCCAGACTTTTTATTAATTTATTGTAATTAATTATTTGCATGCAATTAAAAACTAATTTTAAACGATGCCAAAGAAGGATAACTTCTCACGCGCCTACATAAGTACACGCGCCCATTTTTTTTCTCATTCTGTTGGACGTTTCTGGTTCAGTTTTTTTGTAATAACTGACTAACGTAGTCTAACCTATCATCCTAAAACTTATGGTGTATCTAGGCATTGCAGAATTCACTTAGAATTTGTTCGAAAGTTCAAAATTACGATTAGAGCTCAGTACACACAAATTTTCAAAGTATCAAAAAAAATGTAAATAGGGGGATTTGGAGTTCAAAGTGCTTTTATAACTTTCTGAAACATTAAACTTTAAAACAAGGTCACATAAAGATAGGGGTTTATTTTCTGTAATTGACCTTCAAAGTAATTTAAGGCATTTTTTAAGGAAAAAGAATAATTATTTTCTTTTATTTAAATCTTTGGCTTTCTCTCAGTTATGAAGGATTTGAGTAAAACGCAGTTAATTGTTAACAAAATACATTTATTTAAAGCAAATTTTCAAAATTTCGCCCTCCCACAGAAATACACAATCTACATCTGCGCAAAAAATTATGTTTTAGGTGCCTAAAAGCTTCACGGTTATTTTTCACAGTGGTTTCAGCTTCGCGAATTTTTGCTCTCAGTTTTTCTTCATCTTCTCTGGCGTACGCAATTTCTTTAAAGTAGCCCCAGATAAAAAAATCAATAGGGTTGAGGTCAGGCGAGCGTGGTGGCCAGGCAATTGGCCCTCGTCGTCCGATCCACCTGTTGGGGTAGGTCTGCTCTAAATGGCGACACATACAAAAGTTTTTTAGAAGACAATCTACCCATATTACTGAAAGATGTAAATCTTGAATTAAGAAGAACGATGGTGTTCCAGAACGAAGGGGCGCCATGTCATTACGCGACACAACCGTGAAGCTTCACGGTTATTTTTAGGCACCTAAAACTGGTCGCTAAAGCGACCAACTTCATGCTGTTAATTTTTGTGTTACAGTGATGCGCGCGCATCTTAAAATTTCACTCTCATCATTTTTTCATAACGCGCCTAAAGAAGTATAACTTCAATAAAAAAATAAACATTATGTTCTAAAATCAAATCAAATAGGGCGCGCTTCCCAAACTTCCTATTACACACTTCCGTCCCACTTCACGTAATCACTCTCACAAATTGCACGAAAGCGAGAGGAAAGATGTTACACATCAATAACGAAATGTTACTTGGTACATACGACCATTTATCTTATAATTACTTGGTACATACGACCATTTATCTTATAAAACAAACTCTTGTTCCTTTTATAAATTATATCTGATACTTGGAAAAAATTGTTGTTTGTTATTTCCATACTAAACAGAATCTCATGGTTCTATGAGTTACCGATATATTAATAAGGGCCTTATAATGAAACCATATAGTAAGTAAACTCACTTGTCAACTTTGGATTTGTTATCGACCCTGTTCCTGGAAGTTCGCCGCCGCCTCGATACCGTCCAGTCTTCGTCTTCATCAGAACTCATCTCCAAAGATGGGTATACTGAATAAAAAAAACAAATTTTCTTTGACTCGTTGATTCATTTGACATTGCGGGTTATCTACAATGCGAAGAGATGGCGCTGTCTTGCAGCATAAGAAATACTATAAACTTCGACACTACCAACAGGACCCCGGTAGTATAATGGAAAAGTATACGCAAAGCTGGACATAGATGGCGCTGCAAAAGCTTGACACAAACCACAGCCAAATATTTTAACGTGTTTTTTTTTTGTTAAAAATATTAAATAAGTGGTGAAAATGTATTCAACATGGTCTGTAATACAGCTGAAAACAGAGTTGAAAAGGAGAGGAGCATCTGTGCAAGGCAGAAAAGGTGATCTAGTAGAAAGGTGCTCTTTCTATTATTATGCTAAAATGCTCATTCTCGGTACATAGATGCATTTCCATGATTATTTTAATAGTTCATGGATCTGAGTAACTTTTAGCAGGCTCATTAGTCAAATCCATCTCATTTTTGCATCAGTCAGACATCTCATAGAGTTAGGTTACCTCTGGCTAAAGTGGTGTAACATTGGGTTTTTTACACACTTGAGGCATATGACCGCAATTTTAATTTTGGTGCAGGTTTTTCTAATCAAAATGAAGACATCCAGATGCAATTACCTGCCCCAGTTAAAGTAACATATAAAATTATATTTTTGTCGGTAAGCATGCAGTTTTCTCACAACAACCAGGAACTGCACAACTCGGCATTTGTATGTTGTTTAATAAAAAGCTTAAAAATGAATATAAGCTAATAGGTATGTATTTGATAGAAGTTTTGGGTCAAGCGATTACAGCGCCCCTAGTGAACAAATTTTGCAGATTTCTTGTCCATTGATCAATGCTTATGATGATGACGAGTTTACTCACCATACTCTTCGTCCCTATGGACTTCTTTGATGACGTCTTCTTCATCGGCGAAGTCTTCTTCGGCACTACTCACCGCGGCCGCCGGCTTCCGAGCCCGTTTACTACTACTCGCCGTACTACTGCTGGCGAATCAAACATAGCAATTAGTATTCAATGAAGATTACTTTATAATCAATCGACTGAAAGTCTATTTGACAGTACGAAAATAGAGTACCAATAGGGTATTTGACAGTATTAAAAATAAAGTGGCCAATGTAAGCATCTGTGTTAAGAATGAATATTGGCATGGGTTTTTACTATTTTTACAAAAAAAAAACTAATCATAATATTACTAAAAACCTAAGAAAAAGATAATAAGTTTTCTTATCTATTGTCACGTGACCCAATACGCTTGGGATTGGCGGAGCCTTAAATGACGTCACACGCAAGTAAACTTCCGGTAAAAGTGACATTACATTGTATCGTTTGACGTTTTAATAACAGTCATGTGATGTCACACGCTAGTAAGACGCCATATTGTCCAGAGAAACGTTTTTGCGGCAACTTGAAAATGGAGATTTTCATTTGGTCATTTTTACAGAAATACACAACAGAATGAGGAATATCCACTTTTCACGGACTCCATAAACATTAGTCAATAACGTGAGATCGTTTTCTAAAACTTTTCAAAGACCCTATTAGTATTCAATGAAGATTACTTTATGATCAATCGACTAAAAGTCTATTTGACAGTACGAAAATAGAGTACTAATTATTGGTTGCATCTGGTTTCACTATTCTGACAAAAAAAGGGTATTGGTGCCAATTCTGGAGTGATTCTCTAAACTTAAAACTAAATTTAACATGTCTTTCCTTTTCATTCTGTATAGAGAATGACAAGGATATACTGCTGTCAAATTTAAGTTTAGGTTTAGAGAATCATGCTGGAATCGACACCATTAATAATATTACTGTTACGACAGCGCCATCTAGTCACTCTAGGTAGCGTTGCCGACAATGTATGATGTAAGTACAGGGCGTCTCACGGGTTTGTTACACCGAGGGAAAGTATATTAAATATTGAAGATAGGATATTTTACTGAAAGAAGACATGATTTTATATTTAATAATAATAACTAGAACTGCATTCACAGTTTTGTTTTTAATTCGACTGCTACAAACTGGGAATCAAACTCGTGGAATTTGAAAAGAATACTTGCCATATTTTATGATAACATTTATATGAATGAAATTATGTACAATTTTCTTTCCCTGTTTTTAACAGATTAAAAATGACTATGGTTATGTTAGCTTTTTTGAGCTAGCGGTACGAAAAATAAGATTTAGTGTAACTTTCTCTGGTGGTCCTAATTAAATAAATAAATAATAATATTTTAGTTTTGATTCACTATTTTAGCGGTAATGACTTACTCATTAAAAATAGATATATGGTGTCACGGACTTTTTTTTAGAACTATTTAAGAGAACCATTTTCACTCTACATTACATTCATGTAACTTTTATTGTTTTTGCAGTGCAGGCCAAAATGGCTTGCAGATGGTAGATTTTTTTCCGTCTTATGTGACACTTATTGTTATATATTGGCCAATTCATTCAATAACTACATAAATTATTATATTTAAGTAATTATCATATATGACCTATATTACTGTTAAGTTTCATTAAAATCCATTCAGTATTTTTTAGGTGAAAGAGTAACAAAGATCCATACAAACGTAAGATTGAAATTAGAAGCATTAGTGGTTAATATACAACTTTAAAGCGTTGTAGATCCTAAACAATCATATTAAATGAAAAATGGTGTTAGGAACCTAAATATGATTTTTGCTTATTTAGACAGTGATACCCCACTCGACATATTTTGTCAACTTATTTTTTTTACTTCGTCACAATATGGCGCCTATTTTTACCCATATTGAATTTTGATTACTATCATATCTTTAGTAGCACTCCCATGATTGAGACGAATCGATTGATGTATGAATCATCAAAATCGGTCCAGGCGTTTGGTCTCTAGTATGCCACAAAGGAACAAACATACATATATAGACTGTTAAACACATAACCCTGTCTGCGCGTCGCGCTTCGCGCTCTTGCATTGCGCAGCCGGGTAAAAAGATACCTGTGTTGCGGCGAGCTGGTGGTAGCCTGGTTGGCCGCCAGCCCGAAGGTGACCGGCGCCGCGTATCGCGAGCTGATGCTGAGCATCCCCGCCACAGCTACGTCTCCCTACATCATCAGATACCTGTGTTGCGGCGAGCTGGTGGTAGCCTGGTTGGCCGCCAGCCCGAAGGTGACCGGCGCCGCGTATCGCGAGCTGATGCTGAGCATCCCCGCCACAGCTACGTCTCCCTACATCATCAGATACCTGTGTTGCGGCGAGCTGGTGGTAGCCTGGTTGGCCGCCAGCCCGAAGGTGACCGGCGCCGCGTATCGCGAGCTGATGCTGAGCATCCCCGCCACAGCTACGTCTCCCTACATCATCAGATACCTGTGTTGCGGCGAGCTGGTGGTAGCCTGGTTGGCCGCCAGCCCGAAGGTGACCGGCGCCGCGTATCGCGAGCTGATGCTGAGCATCCCCGCCACAGCCACGTCCTCCCTACATCATCAATCAATTAAGTACGGGGCAACGAAAAAGCGATACAATTCATTCACCTTATACGAGACTATGGGACTGACACTCAAATAACGACGGCGAGGTACCAATTCCTTGATACTGTGAGTATTGTATGTCATAACAGGTGCGAGTGAATAGTGAGAATGTGACCAGTGGTAGGGGTATAGAGCGCAGTAAAAGACTACGTCAGAGGGTAGACCGATAGATAGTCCTGTACTGGTCAGTAATTTCGTTTACTATGTTCCTTCAAGATTACCGAGATACCCCTGTGGATTGTTCAGGAGCAGATTCTGTCGAACGGGGATGGGTGGCTGTTGTCCGCTTGGCTCGTCTATACAACGATAGCGCCAAAGAGTTGCCAGAGCTAGATATCCATTTTCAGAGCTATTCTGAGTTTATAACACTGCTTAAAAGGGCTGACGCCCTTTAGCCGCTTATGCTTGTAGTTTGTGCTTCCATTTTTTTTTATTATGTTTTTATGTATTTATATGCCTGCTTATATTGTGTTTTTTTTAACGCATGCTGTGGCTACCTTAATTGTAAGTGCAGTAAGATATAAGCAATTTGAGCTTTGTTTGTACCAAGAACTGCTGTAACTTATGTTGGTGGCCCTTATAATAAATAAATAAATAAATGTCTGCCAATAACATCTACCCGCAATTACTTCAGTTACTCCGTGATCATGGCGCTTGCACCAGTGCCGAAATATCGGAGACTCATAAAATACAAGGTACATGGTAACAATCCCGTTAATAGTTATAATGTAAGTGACCATGAAAGTTTAAAACAATAAATAATTTTCATCTCTCGCACGTATTGACTCACGTGTAGGATTACCATCCGTTCGGATTTGTCCGGACATGTACGGACTTTTAATTTGTCCGGTTTTTTTAATTAGATGGAATATGAGTTAAACTAATTATTAAGTTTATATCAAATAAGTCAAATAATCGTTATAAAGTTCTCATTAATTTAAAAACAAAATATAATTATGTTTTTATTTATTTTTAAGCATTTAACTGCTAGATGTTTAAATCTAAAGAAAAGTTTACTAGAAAAAAAACCACGCGGATCAGGCAGCGGCGGGACTCGAACCCGCACCCTTCGCAATCCGGGCGAATGCACTGACCATTATGCTACCACGGCCCTATTCGCCGCGTCGAAATTTTCCTAGCCTTAAGCTGCAGGGAAGCGCCATCTCTTCGCATTGTAGGTAACAAAATATAAATTATTTTTAAAAATCAACAACGAGTCCCCCCTCGCGATCACTGTAACTTAGTGGGTAATTATAGCTATTAACGGGATTGTTACCATGTACCTTGTTTTTTATGAGTCTCCGATATTTCGGCACTGTTGCAAGCGCCATGATCACGGAGTAACTGACTCCGTGTTACTCCGTGATCATGGCGCTTGCAACAGTGCCGAAATATCGGAGACTCATAAAAAACAAGGTACATGGTAACAATCCCGTTAATAGCTATAATGTTAGTGACCATGAAAGTTTAAAACAATATATTAGTGGGTAATGTTTGCATTTTGTGACTTAAATGTCTGGACTTCTATCGAAATGTCCGGCTTTTTGCCAGGACTTTTCATATTTTTAATAGTAACCCTACTCACGTGGTATCATCCACGGGGGATTCCCCTTCAGCGATGACGGATGCCTGTATGAGAGACTCGATGCCGTTAGCGGGCGCCGGCCTGGAAGTGCTCTGTCTGTAATTACTGTTGCTGTTTGACCCTGCGACAAAACGCAATAACCATTTCAGTACCATGCTATGCAAAAGGTTGTAGTACTATAATAATAATAATAAACGTTTGAACGAGTGGTTAGCGCGTTCGGATGCGATCGTTGAACGTAAGCAACTTTCGCAGTTGTCGGTCATTGGATGGGTGACCAAAAATTACTATCTCGAGCTCCTCCGTGCTTCAGAAGGCACGTTAAGCCGTTGGCCCCGGCTGCATCAGCAGTCGTTAGCACCCACCGATCCGCGCTGTGCCCGTGTGGTGGGTCTTGGCCCAATCTCCCTATTCCATCCATAGGGAAGGCCTGAGCCCCAGCAGTGGGGACAATAATAGGCTGATGATGATGATTGACTTCAAGCAAGTTATATATATCCAACAATCACACCAATTAGCCTAGCCCCAAAGTACTATGCGATTCAAATAAGAATAGGAAAGCCATTTGCCCACCATCTATCAAATGTCGCCTGTAAAGTACGGTTTGAAAAAAAAAACTTGGAACACTTTTTTTAGTGCTGAACTAATCTTGTAATAAATACCAAACATTTGTAAACAAAATAAGAAAATAAATCATATGAAACGTATAGAAAATGAGCACTGGAAAAGGGGAATATAAGAACTTTAGTTTTATTATAAATACAGGTATTAAAAAGACCGTTTTCATTTTAATAAGGTTGTCGTTTTAAAACTTACAATAATCGATATTTTACTTTATAGCCGAAAGCATCAGTGATAATGTTGACTACTCCGACGACGGTAGTTTAGAGATGAGCGAAAGAGGTAGATTCTGATTAATGTTTTTTCTTATTCAGTCTTACTAAATAAATATTATGTTTTTGTTTATTTTATTTTAAGCATTTAACTGCTAGATGTTTAAATCTAAAGAAAAGTTTTACTAGAAAAAATCCACGCGGTCCAGGCAGCGGACGAGACTCGAAACCGCATCCTTCGCAATCCGGGCGAATGCACTGCATTTTTCGATATTTAGCTATACACTACAAATTTCGACATGGCCATCAGGGCCGTGGTAGCATAATTGGTCACTTTTCGTTAGATTTAAATAAATATTATTAAAAATCTGATATTTTTTCTCACTTAATATAGGTAAATAAGTTTTATTAATGAAAACCTGTTTTGCTCACCCTACCTAACTGGTTTGAATTGACAGCTATGACGACACAATATGGCGCCCAGTCGGTCCTATTCTTAGTTGAATCGCATTGTGAGAACTGTAAAGTTTGTGTTACGGGAGACTGGGTCACGGATAGAATACATATAATGATATGTATACAAGTATATTTATTAAATAAAACAAGTTAAACAAGTTTCGTCCGAATAATCTATATTATTGGGACGACGCAGGCCTGAAAAGGCTGCGATACGTCAATAAATAAATAAAATTAGTACATCTAACCTGTTGAGACTTGTTTTATTTAATGAATGACGTGCGTGCAAACCTAAGAAACAAATAAGTATATTTATATATGTCGGAGGATGTGACGAGTAGAGTTTCTTGTTGAATGTTAATCGCGAAAAGGCTATTGTTTACACTTTAAATAATTTTATAAAATCTTAATTTAATTTGATTTAATTAATTACAATTTTGGTATCGTTCAGTAACTTAACAATTTAATAAAAATCTCTTATAAATCATCTTATGTCGCGTCCAATCAGAGCAGAGCACGTGCCTCGAGTGGGGTCGAGGCGTCATCTTGATTTTCACAGGTGGGAGGTAGTTTTTGCGCGTATTTAAAGGCGAGGAACTGATCGTAGCGGTTCATTACAAGAAAAGTGATACGGTAGTTCAGTGAAGTCAGATTGGTACCTTGAACCCACTGCTCGGTTGTTACGTTATTTAAGTGTCCTTAGTGTAAAGTAAAGTGTGTGTGAAACATTTGTATTTTGTTTTTGTTAAAAGAACGTAATTAAAACTATATGAACAGTGATTGAGTGATTGTTTGGTTTTGTGCCTGTATCAAGCCCCAATGACGCCCACTAAGCCCTTGAACGCTAATGACAGAGCGAATAGTCGCTCTCCGACATATAGAATACATATTCAACATCGATGACTGGAGTGCAAATGCTCGTATTCATCACACAAACATCTGCCCCCAGTGGGATTCGAACCAGTGACCTCTCGAGGCGACCTTTCGAGTACCTTGTAACCCGACGTACATATCACTCAGTCTCAGAGGTCGTCAAAAAGTACAATATGTCTAAACAGATGTGACAAAATTAGTGACAATAGGCACTCAGTACCTAAAATATTACAAAAGGTGACTATAGTCTGTCCATTCTATTATCTTTTTGACAGATCGACGCCTATGAAATTTTGTATTGTTTACGTAAAAATGTCATACAAATAATATTGTACTTCATGGACGGGTACCGCCCACTTAGTGATGTGCCGCACATAATGATTACTAAGATTGTGCCACAGATTACAAATAATCGGTAGAAATAAATGAGTACAACCAAATTGTAAGGTAAAAACCAAGTAATTAAAATATTAACATTATATAAAGTTCATTATATAAATGTCTTCTTAGTTTATTTTTGATTTATTCAGACGTATCAGATTCTTCATACAAACTGGACTCATCGTCAGATGTGTCCTCGGTATTAATGATGAGTACATAGAACAAATGCTCGTGCTCATCACACAAATATTTGTACTAGGTAAAATAATAAATATAATGAGATTTTGTAATAATTTATTAAACACCAGTATTTTTGATAACTAAAATAATTTTATACTTATAATTGATTAAACAATGTTCTAGCATAAAATCGATTATAGCTTTAAATCGAACGAGTTATGTGATAGGGTGTCACTATTTTTACTTCGATAGATCTGTCAAAAAGATAATAATAGAATGGACAGACTATAGTGTTTAATTATGAATATACAATAAAAAAATCTGATTTACCAAAGTTTTGGAATACCGTGCCCTACTGTTTAGGCAAAAAAAAAAAAAAAAATTAAAGTTAAAAACAATGATTAATAGTAACCAACGTAGCAAAGAACAAACTCATCTCCGCTGGCAGCACCCGTTCACGAGCATGACGCATGCACCAGCCGTCTCTTCGCTAAATAGTTTTTTAGGGAATGCAACGTTCCACCTTACACGACACCTCCGAAGAGATTTATGACAAGTTATTTTTAAGAAGTTAAGTTCTAATACGTTCTTTAAGCTGATTTTAATAACGACCCGCCTCACACGACACTATGGGTGTATTCCGTAATATATACCAGTATACTGGCCAGTGCTAATGACGTCATGAATCGACGCTATACTGGTGAATTGTTCCGAAATATATTGGCCAGTGCACTGACGTCATAAATCGACGAAATATTAAAACAAGTGCGAATAAAGAAGATTTTTCATTCACCTCATCAATTAAAAGGAATTCTTTTTGTTCGGATGCCATTATTGTTCTTTAAATAAAAAAGAAATAAAATTCGACTGCATCTCACGCACGCTCGGTCATACGTCATATTCGTTTTTCCGGTAAAAATATGGTAGCATACCAGTACAATATGGCGTCGGATTCGTGACGTCATTACCACTGGCCAGTATACTGGTATATATTACGGAATACACCCTATGTTTGTGGCACAGTATTTTATTTATAATAAAAATTTCATAGTAACAAAGCTCTACCTCTTAATGGAATTTGATTATTGAAAGTGGCTGTGAATCAATCCAAAAATATTACCTGGTTGCGTCCTATAGTGTTTGTGTTTGGCCTGTTTCCTTCGTCTAGGAGCCGGCGTGTCGTCTATGTAAAGGTCTCCGTCTTCATAGTCGTAAGTGTTGGACACTCTTCGACGGACCGGCCGCTCTGACCGACGGACAGCTTTGGGTTCTTCCCGGGTCTGATCAATACGAAATAAGAAAAAAAATATATTTAAATTTTTAATTTTTTAGACATGTTAATGCTAGATGTTTAAGTCTGAAGAAAATTTTACTAGAAAAAAGTCCACGCGGACCAGGCAGCAGCCGGGACTCGAACCCGCACCCTTCGCTATCCGGGCGAATGCACTGGCCATTACGCTACCGCGGCCCTGATGGCCGTGTCGAATTTTCTCTTAGCCTTTCTTAAGCTGCAAGGCAGCGGCCATCTCTTCGCATTGTAGGTAATCCACAATGTCAAATTAATACCTTTACAAGTATTAGTATTAAGGTTAGAGAAAATTCGACACGGCCGTCAGGGCTGCGGTAACATAATTGTACGAGATGACCGAAACAAGAAATAGTTTACGTGCGTAGTGAGACGTTGAGGAGCTCGATGGCGCAAGTGGTTAGCGCGTTCGGCTGCGATCGTTGAAGTGAAGCAACTTTCGCAGTGGTCGGTCATTGGATGGGTGACCAAAAATTTACTATCTCGAGCTCCTCCGTGCTTCGGAAGGCACGTTAAGCCGTTGGTCCCGACTGCATCTGCAGTCGTTAGCACCCACCAATCCGCACTGGGCCCGCGCGTTGGGTCATGGCCGTCATTACAGATCCAATGATAAGATTACAAATCATACTACGTTATGATGTCAAATTTAGTAAATTAAACAACACAATAGAAAGATTACATTTTATTATAAAAGTAATAATAATAAATAGTGATGGTGCGTACAAATTGTAACTTGTTCAATCGTGAATTAGCGAATACTTGTATGTAATAGACGATGTCGGATTATAGGGGGTGCCGCATTAGCGAGGGGCCGAATTACCGGGGCTCCACTGTATAATCAAAGTAAATTTTTGCTCTAAAAAAAAATTGAAACGGCTTGAAGAAACTAAAACTAGAATAGACTACGTCATTTCAGTCATTGAGGAGCTCGATGGCGTGACTGGTTAGAGCGTTCGGCTGCACAATAATATTTAAATTGGTATTGGAGTTACTTTATTGCATAAATAAAAAAAATATATGAATGCACATTTAAAATAGACAAAATATATTATATTATCAGGCAACGGCGAAGCGCTTAAAATATTCCTCGGCGGTGGAAACGGCGGGTTGTTGGAGCGCAGAGGCCAAGCAATTTGTGTGGGACCTGGGCCGCCGACTCAGGCAAAAAACTAATGACCCTCGCTCCGGGTCGTTTCTGGCACAAAGATTGTCTATTGCCATCCAGCGTGGCAATGCTGCAAGCATAATGGGCACCTTTGCGCAAGAAACGATACGGGGTGATATTTGAATATTATTAGTATTTGTATATTATTCTTGTACATAATGTTAATTTTAGTTATTATATTATATTTTTAAGGTTTTTAGTTTTAGGTTCATTGTTACAACTTTATGCAATTAGAATGTATAATTAATAAATCAACAAATAAATTTATTATACTACCTATTAAGTTTTTTTTTTAATAGACTTCCTTGAGCATGCACCCGCACAGGTGAAGAGGGTCTACTGGTTGGGTGCTGGATTAGGTGAAATAAACGGCAAACTTCTTGAACATAACTACAAACCAATTAACTTGCGCAGTAGATGTCTTTGCATATAAAATTGCTACTGCGCAGACTTCCTAGTCTATGGTCGTTATTAATAAATAAATAAATAGGTGGCTGTGAGGAGCTCGATGGCTCGGGTAGTTAGCGCGTAGCGCTGCGATCGTTGAAATTAAGCAAACTTCGTAGTGGTCGGTCATTGGATGGGTGACCAAAAATCTTCTATCTCGAATTCCTCCGTCCTTCGGAAGGCACGTTAAGCCGTTGGTCCCGGCTGCATCTGCAGTCGTCAGCACCAATCCGCACTGGGCCCGCGTGGTGGGTCATGGCCCAATCTCCCTATTCCATTCATAGGGAAGGCCTGCGCTCCACCAGTGGGGACATTAAAAGGCTGCTGATGATGATGATGATGAAGTATATAAAATAAACCACTTACATATTCCGTGGGTACGGGTGCATACTGGGCGATGGCAGCATCATAGGATGGTAATCGACTAGGTTGTTCTTGGTAGCTCTCTATTGGTTCTGGCGGTGGTGCCGCTACGTTGGTGTAACTTGCACCCTGCTATAATTACAATCATTTTTGAGAAGTGTCTCAATTAAATTCCAAAGTGCTAATATGCTACTTAAAAAAATTATATGCCTAATTTGAAAAATGAAAATGAAACGAAAAATATATTTATTGGAACTAATTAAGTTGCATGTATAATTTAGGTTCAATTAGGCTACAGCTATTAACCCCCCCCCCCCCCCCCCCCCAGATACAGAAGATACGTGTGTTCCATAATTTATATAAATTAACAAAAATTACAGTCCTTATCTTACAAAATAAAAATTATGTATGTGTGTGTGTGTGTTTGTATAATGCGATTCAACTAAGAATAGGACCGACGGGTGCCATATTGTGATGTCATAGCTGTCAAATCAAACCAAATAGGTAGAGTGAGCATAAAAAAGTTACTATTAAATAAAACTTATTTACTAAGATTAAGTGAGATAAAGCATCAGATTTTTTTAACAACATTTATTTACTAATATTGAAAAAGAAAACACCGATTTTTAATATTTATTTATTAAGACTGTGAGAAAAAACATTAATCAGAATCTAGCTCTTCTATTCCGCTCATCTCTGCATTACCGCCGGATTAGTTATGAATAATCATGCACTATTACTAGGTCAGATACGAACATGCATCCCTTATGTAAACGAAAGTTTGAAATCGAGTTTCTGAACGCAACTTAAAGTGACATTTGGTGGACGATTTATAGTTCTAAACCATTCATGGCCAAAGCTCAATAAGTGAAAAAAATATATCAACCGATATTAATTATCAATATTTGTTATTGTTTGTTTACAAATGTTTGGTTTTAATTCTTGAATTAGCATAGTGCTAAAAAATTGTTCCAATTTTTTTTTGCAAACCGTACTTTTCAAGCCACATTTGACAGATAGAGGTCATTGGCTTTCCTATTCTTATTTGAATCGCATTATATATATGAGTGTGAGTGTGTGAGTTTGTATTAGCGTGTGTGTGTCTGTTAGTGCATGCCTGTATGTTTATGAGAGTGAGAGTGTACGACTGTACTAAAATGATAGTTGCATATGATTTCACGTGTATATCCGTGTATTATTTATTTGATGACCTTTGAAACCAACTGTAATGGAACTATTAATTTTTATTTATTCTTATAATCTAGATAAATATACGTTTTTAATACAATAATAATGATATAAAAATAATAAATTTTTATTGGCTTAAACAATAATGTGATCTTAAACTAATGACCAGCATCTCCTTTTAAGCTTAAATAGCCTGTGTCAGGAGATACAGTTCTTCCTTAAAATAAATAATCCAATAAAATTCAAACAAACCATGACCAAGATCTGATTAGTTTAGACGGTTGGTGTTTATGCCTACGTAACTGTAAATGTGGGTGTGAGTGCTTGAATTTTGTATGTATATGTGTGTGTGTGTGTGCGTGTTGGTGTAGTGTGTGTGCGTGTATATGTGTGTTAGTGTGTGCAAGAATACTAGGCTCTGCTTAACAATATCTCGATTTCATCATATGTTTTTGCTGTTAACCATTTTATCAGTACAAGCATGCAAAGAGCATTGATAAATAAATTTTATCATATACATAAATATATTTATTAATGCACAATACAAATGTTTAGAAGTTTGATTAGCACGTTAGTCTATGGTCGTGGCCCCATTCTCTACCCCATGGAGCCATGACAGAACTCAGTAAAATAATACTACCTTAGGGTACGGCCAGAGTGCACTCAGATTCAGATTCAGACTCAGAAAACAAGCGCGAGAAATATACAGTGTAGTTTAAGCAGGTTGCCTGCTGCCACTATGGCCACCCTGCTTTAACTACATTGATTATTTCTCCCGCTTGTTTTCTGAGTCTGAATCTGAATCTGAGTGCACTCTGGCCGTACCCTTATGGTGGTGTTGAGTTTCTGTATTCTCTACCCCATGGAGCCGTTACAGGACTCAGTAAAATAACACTATCTTAATTATGGTGGTGTTGTGTTTCTATCGATGAGTTAGGTTCCAGAGCCCCATGGAGTAGGAGATGGGGTCAAGGTAGACAATGATGCGAGTGATATTACAGTGGCTGCTTACCATAGGTGTATTCCGAAATACATCAGTTTACTGGCTAGTGGTAATGACGTCACGAATCCGACGCCATATTTTATTTATTTAAACTTTATTGCCACAATTACAAAAATTGACAAAAGGCGGACTTAACGCTAAAAACCTACTCTGCCAGTCAACCTTTAGGCATGGAGAAATTCACGATAGTGGCTATATTAAAAAAATGGGTGCGTGTACTTATGTAGGCGCGTGTGACGTTATCCTTCTTTGGCATCGTTTAAAATTAGTTTTTAATTGCATGCAAATAATTAATTACAATAAATTAATAAAAAGTCTGGAAAAGGACACAGTCAATAAAGTTCAGTTTTAATTTGGAAAAATAAATAAATAATCAAAATATTCAATTAAAATCGCTACTGAATATAATTTATTAGAACATATGTGATTTGCACTTGTATGAAACTCAAACACGTATTCCGAATATACAAACTAGAAACATGTGGATAAATATTATAAACTAGCGGCCCGCCCTCGCTTCGCTTCGGTGTAGAGCTGAAGTGTAGACTACAGTTTTTGTTCTCAGGCTTGTATTATACACAATGACATTCATCTATGATTCTTCTTATACCTGCATGCAAAGTCTCAGCCCGATCGGTTTAAAATTGATAAAGTTTCATACAAACTTTCATTCCTTATTTTATCCCCTTGGGATTTTCTTTATATTTTTTTCCGTAAGAACCTTGTACAGAGTATTAGAAAACTACAAAAAAAAAAACAGCCAAATCGGTCAAGCCGTTTTCATGTTATGTCGTGACAACGGAAAACGGGTTTCATTTTTATATATATAGATATGAAAACAGTCTCTGTTCTAAATTCAAAACTCGTAACTTTTCCCGATGTTTGTTGCACGTGTTTCCCGCGCTAGGACCGCGAGTGGCCGCGCATGCGTACGGTGCGGCGGGCGACGCGGTAATGGCAGCGCGGTACATGAAGTTGGTCGCTAAAGCGACCAACTTCATGGTGTTAAAATTTAGTGTTACATGATGCGCGCGCATCTTAAAATTTCACTCTCAACAATTTTTCAGAACGCGCCTAAAGAAGTATAACTTCAAAAAAAATACACAACAACACCAATAAAAGTAACCACATAAATATTTATTTAAAAAAAACCCCTCTAAATATACATGCATAGAATACATTTAAATATATACCATATTGTACTGGCATGCTACCATATTTTTACCGGGAAAACGAATATGACGTATGACTGAGCGTGCGTGAGAAGCATTCAAATTTTATTTCAAGAACAATAACGGCATCCGAACAAAAATAATTCCTTTTAATTGATGAGGTGAATAATAAATCTTCTTTATTCGCACTATATTTAATATTTCGTCGAATTGTGACGTCAGTGCACTGGCCAATATATTTCGGAACCATTCACCAGTATAGCGTCGATTCATGACTTCATTAGCACTAGCCAGTATGCGGGCCATATGAACGAATGAATGAATGAACGAATATATTCTTTATTGCACTATTACACAAATTACAAAAAAAAAACACCTAAAACACAAAAACGCAAACACAAGAGGCGGCCTTATTCCTAGGGTAGCAATCTCTACCAGGCGACTTTTGGCTAAATGATACCATACCATAAGAATAGAAGAAACTGAGGGCTAGTGCATTGTCAACGCTCGTTTGTCACCCTTTTAACACAAAAAAATGTTATAAACACAAGGTATAGTTACCTGGTGCACAGTCTGTATGGGTGGTTCATCGTATCGCTGGTAAGTGTCCACATATTCTGGTTGATAACCATACTCAGGCTGGTAAGAGCCAGGTTTGGCTGCTTCAGAATACTGGTAGTCGGGTTGAATGTCTTCTGCCGAGTACATGCCTAAAATGCAGAAAAAAAAATATTAATTTTTGAACATATCACAATAATCATTTAGGTCTGTCCACTCGCAGCAATTTTTCTAAATTTCAATTTAATTAAAACTTGATTTAACCCATTCACTAATTTCAATGTATATCCGTGTATAATGTATCTTAATAGATATACATTGAATTTAGATAAGAGGAGCTCGATGGAGTCAGTGGTTAGCGCGTTCGGCTGCGGTCGGTCTTCGCAGTCGTCGGTCATTGGATGGGTGACCAAAAATTTACTATCTCGAGCTCCTCCGTGCTTCGGTAGGCACGTTAAGCCGTTGGTCATGGCCCAATCTCCCTAATCCATCCATAGGAAAGGCCTGTGCCCCTGCAGTGGGGACATTAATAGGCTGATGATGTGATGTGATGATCCGTATTAAACTAAATTCTCTATGAGAATAAAGCTTTTAAACCGCAATAATGTCAAACAGACAGAGAGATTTTGTGATTTTTCTATGAATTAAAGCTAGTTTTAGTTGAATCAAGTGTTAACAAATTTGCTGCAAGTGGGCTTTAGTCCCAAAAATAGGGATAAATTGTCATATGGTAGCTTAATAACGCATATCAATAATTAGCTAGCTAACTAGCGGATCTAACAGAAGTTGTAATAAATATATTTGTACGAAGCGAGCAAATAACGTGTACGGTAGGAGAACTAATTTTATACCCTTGGGGGTAGAATTGATCGAAATCCTTTCTTAGCGGATGCCTACGTCATAACATCTACCTGCATGCCAATTTCAGCCCGATCCGTACAGTGGTTTGGGCTGTGCGTTGATAGATCACTATGTCAGTCAGTCACCTTTGAGTTGTATATATATAGTTTCTAAAACACATTGCACCCCTGTTTTTAACAGGCGAGTAAAATACTTACCAGGGCCATAAGTGATCTGTGGGTTATCAATTCTCATGCTAGCATGCAGATTCTCATTTGTGAACAGAATCTGTTCCTCATGATAATCCCCGACGTCTTTCTTCGATATAGTCCATTGGTGTATAGGTTTTAAGGCAGGTCTATCGGCTCTGATGAGGTGAGACTTCAGTATGGAATGTTCCACGTTGTAGGGGGGTGGTGGTTCATCTCGCGACGATGAGGGGGAGTTGCTGGTAAAGATTTATTTAAGTTCGATTTTAAAGATATTACAGATCCGATTTAGAAAGATAAGTAAGTTTATTGTATAGGGCGCAACATGCGTGGATACGCTTGCTCCGTGCCATACAGGCGGCCTCTGCCGAGTGCTCCAAACGGCGCAAATATTCAACTCTTATTGAGAACTACATATTTGTGCCGTTTGGTGTTGAGACTATGGGCCCATGGGGTCCAAGCGCTCGTTCCCTTTTTAAGGAATTGTCAAAGAGGCTCACCGAAGTGACTGGTGATCAAAAGGCTGGCAGCTATCTTGGTCAACGGATCAGCCTTGCCATCTAACGCGACAATGCTGCCAGCCTATTGGTCACCATTCCTGATGGCGGCGCTGGGAGTGATATGTTTTTTATTATGTAAATTATTTATTTATGTAGGTAAGTAGGTTAAGCTCTGTAGTTTTTAAGTTTGTGTTATTTTAATGTATTATCTTCGTAAAAATAAATAAATTGATGTCAGAGTAAGTTTATGAATTAATAGGGCAGTTAACTCGATTCATTTCTATTAGGGGTCATCCATAAATTACGTCACACGAATTTTATGATTTTTTTGCCCCTCCCCCCGTCCTTGTCACAGCTGGTCACATTTGTGAGACTCCCGCCCTCCCTAGTATGACGTCACATATTTTTTCAAAATATTTAGAAATTATTGAATGAAAACAGCGGTTCCGAAAACAGTTATATTTCCATTTAATTATTTTTAAAGTGAAACTTCTTTACGCACGCTTAACTTGGGGGTAAGTTGGCGAAAGCGTTTCGCGTTATGAAAAGTGTGTTCGGGCGAGGCGAACGGGAATTGAGTGGGGGATATAAGCAAGAGAAAGGAGTGCGCGCGCACATTTTATTTTCTCTCGTTCTCTTAAAATATAATATTTAATTTCTTAGGTTTTCACGCACAGCACAACTCGACAAAATTAAATAAAAAATTAGTATTCTGACGAAGCAGACCTGAAAAGACTGCGAAACGTCAATAAATAAAGTTTCGTGCATTAACCCGTTAAAACTAGTTTTATTTATATAATATTTAAATTAAAGATACAAACTTAATAATCTTCAGTGCATGGACATGGAAGACACTCCTTTAAATTATTTATATCTGGCATACCAGCCACTTTGTTCTCGTTTGGGTTGTTAATGTTTTCGTAAAGTAATATGTAGTTTAAGAGTTCGTGTTTCAACACTCAGATTATAATAGATTTTGAAATGTGACGTCACGAAATTTAGGACCCCTCCCACCCCCTTGTCATACGATGTCACACTTCGTCGACCCCTCCCCCTTAATGTGTGACGTAATTTCTGGATGGCCCCTACTCATAAATGGTAAGGACATTTTTAAATTGAACTTTCTAGACTAGCAAACATAGTAAATTATAATTTTGCAGCCGTGTCGATATCTTCTTTCATAAAGGTTTATAAGTGTAATACACAAAGACGTCGAATAAAATTTATAACTGCCACGCTGTTCTATTCTAATTACATCGCAAACAAAAAAACAGTAATAACTGTTATCAAAATTAAAAGTAAATTAAGGACTGTATGTGTATGACCATAAGAAGTAACTCCATATAAATTCACCTATTTCACTTATAATTGTTTATTTTCTTTATAATTAAGTAATATTAGACACTCACTTCATTTTAATCTTCAGTACAGTCTTCTTGTCTTGCCGATCGATGTATCCATTGTCGTATATCTGCTCCTCGTAATTAGGATACGGATATTTGTCCGTGATCATCATCTCCTTGTTGTCAGTAACGTATTTTGCTTCAGGGGCACCGTTAACGTATTTCACGTCCTGCGTCATATACCTGTTGGTATTTAAGTATGTTGAACTATAACATATTTAATTAAATCATTGCATTATTCGTCTGTTTACTAAATCTATGACATTGTATAAAAACAAAAGCATCGGCTTAAAGTCACAACCTTGGGGTACTCTTTTTCATACACCAAATATGTTTATGAGTAATTTTAGAAAACATGTGTTTTTTAAACAATTGAAGCCTTAAATAAAGAACATAATACAGTTAACAGTTTTGCAATCATACATTTATATAAGTTCACGAAATGTATTAGACAGATTCAAAGGTTTAAGTAAGATCGCACAATTTTCTAATCTACAAAGGCTCTTTTAAAACTGGAATATTATATATAAGTAAGCAAATTTACTCATAAATCATGTACTTTTGACAAAGTTTGGTACCTTTTATCAATATACATAAATAAATATCCATGGCCATTAACACTACAGTAATTTAGCTTATTATGGGAGTAATATCGGGGACTCGCCAAAAACAAGATTCTTGGTAGCAATCCCGTTTGTACGAGCAACTCAGTACATTGAATAGGCTAGTTTACTCATGTCGAATTATATTAAATAAATGTTTATTTCTTAAAGTATTTAGTCTAAGGAACTTTAATATATCGATTTCACTTCATAAAAGCAGAAGATTGCTGTAGAAATTTAATTTTAAAAAATATTTTTTAGTCTATATTTTTTAAACACTAAAAACGCTGTTCGCCACATCCGCCATGATTTTGACGTCTCTTGTGGTAAACAACTAAATGTCATTCGCGTGTTACTGTAGGTGGATTCTTTCGTCTGACTTTTATCTTAAAACACATTTAACTTTAGGAAAGAAAAAAACAGTAAACTTAGTTTTTTTTTTTGACAAAACTAACCGGCTTTGTGAAAGCAGAAAGCACAAATCTGCCAAGAATTGACGCATTGATGGTTGGTGAATTTGTTGCACTAAACCCCGATTTCTGCTCTGCGGAGCAGAGAAACGACAAGGCATCTATGTAAGTACAGTGCATTTAGTATTACAATGTAGTAATAAACATAAAACTGATACAACATATGAATAAGTGTAATAAAGTTGCGTAGGTTAATTTCTTTCGGCACTTTAATCCACAACTTTCCTGGAGTCTTCAAGGATGTGTTTTTATTCTCGTACAATACAGTAATGATAATTACTTTAGTTTTCGTGGTATTTATTAGAAATCATGTTTTTTTTTATTATAAACTCAGTTAAAAGTAATTTTCTACGTGTTTACGAGTTTTTGTTTACCACAGTTCACGTCATAGCATAGATAATCTATAGACTAAAATGGCCGACAGCGTTTTTGTATGTCCATGAAAAGTCTATTTTAAAATCAAAGATTTGTAGCTTTCTAGGTTTAAAAAAAATACAATACATTTTTTTTCGGTCTAATAGAACATTTATTAATCATTTAAAACCTTTTTCCAAAAAGGGTCAACTAGCCTATTGCTATTTGTTGATATCGAAGATAGGAAAACACTTGATAGAACGAAAATAGTTATTATTAAACTTGAAAGTAACTGTGTGCACACCAGTGATACAAACGCGAACTAACTTGGGCATGATTATGAAATATTAAAACAGTAAAATATTGCCCTAAATAATGCATTGCTAGCAAAATGTACGATTTGCTCGTACATATACCAGGGCGTGAGATGAGAACAGGACCTAACGAACCCAAGTCAATGCTAGGGCTCATACACCGTTAATAACATAAATTAATAATATTCATAGCAACATACCTGACATCATTATAGACGACTTCCTTGTTGTCTATATAGAATTTGTCCGCATAAACTTTCTCATCAACGTATTCCCCGTTCTGCGCCATGTGCATTATGGGTTTCGGAAGTGTCAATTTTAGAGATTTCTTTGCGCTTTGCTGTTTCTTCGAATGTGACTTTGTCGGTGAAGTGCTTTTAATTTTTACGTCCTAGGGTAAGAATGACATACGATTAGCAATAATCGGCTAAAGTATTTTGCATTTGAACCTTGTTGTGTTAGTTTTGATTTGATAATCAACTTAGCGGCCATTACTGAGATGCCAGATTCGAATCTCGGTCTGGTAAATATTAAAGATTAACTTTTCGCGTATTACCTTAAGCCTGACAGTCGTACTCAGAATCGTTAATGCTTTATTAAGACCATTATTGTCTCATTCTATTGGTATACTTTAGTCAAACTTAATTGGCTGTTTCGACTGCGGTCATGAGCGTTGTATATTGTATTATCATTAAAAAACTTGAATACTGGAATATGCCTTTGCTATTTAATATTTTTTTTACTTCATTTAAAAATGCTTTTTATCAACTATGTCTTTCCTAAATTACTAGCGGCTAGCATACAGACAGACAAAAATTGTAAAAAAATGTTATTTTGGTGTATATACCCTAAATATTATATTCATATAGTAAAAGCGGTTATTTCAATATTACAAACAGACACTCCAATTTTATTTCTATGTATAGATTTCGTATTCTAACCAAGTTCCTTACCTTATCTTTATTGGCGGCGCTGGCTGACCTTTTCTCCAACGTCCGTAATTCTTTGCATAGCTCGCGAACCAATTGGCCGGAATTCAAACATTTTGGTACGTTGTCTCGCTTAGCTGGGTCCGTCTACGAAAGCAAATTAAGGACTTGAAAACAGGGCTTGTTTACCGGTTAATTTTCAAAAGTACATTAGGAGCGTTTTATTTAGGTTTAAATAAATAAATATTTCCAACACTCACACCATAATTGGTGCTAATGCCTAGCCCCAAAGTAAGCACTGTAAGGCTTGTGTTATGGGATACTAGGGTAACGGATAGAATACATATACTATACATATATAAGTATATTTATATAGAAATACTTAATAAACATCCATGACTGGAGTACAAATGCTCGTGTTCATCACACAAACATCTGCCCCCACCGGGATTCGAACCCGGGACCTCTCGAGTCGGCGACACCATGAAACCCGGCGTACAAACTACTCGGCCACGGAGGTCGTCAATCTCGGTTTGGCTCTACCTTAACCTTAAAAACCGGTTTTCCTAAAGAGAGAAATCAAATGGGTTTTGAATCTATTTAGCGGTTTTTAAAGGATTTCATTTCGCTCTTACTGACGGCATCGATAATAAATGAATAACTCGACTCACTAGACTCTAGCAAACGTGTCAATAAATGCATCAATCTCTGAGCATTAACAAGTTGCGACTTGATTTGCACAAACGAAACTAACTTCAAGCGACGCCGACGCGTGCACGCGTCGCTCTGGATTAAACCGGTTTATTAAGGTTTTAGGTACCGCTTTCATTTTGGACGCGCTCCGAACGAAACCTTTACTAAAAGCCGGTATTAACCTTTATTTACCGGTATTTTCGAAATCGGTTTGAAGCCCTGCTTTAAAACTCTAACCTTCTTATTAATAACCGAGGGATGAGCTTCAACTAGTTACGCTGTCTTTTTTTCATATCACTCAAATGCTATTTTGAAATTCAATGAACAGAGACAAAACATGGAGTTACAGAAACAAGCTTATTCTTTGTTTATTATTATTAATAAGGCGGTGTAAGGTTTAAAGGACATTGGGCACAAATGTATGGACGCTGCACCCACGTCCGCCACGGCTTAAACTACATTTGTTTGAAATTATATTCAAGATCATCTGTGCCAAAGCGCATAAAATTCCATCCCGGGGGTCTTCAGTTATTTTAAGTTAAATATGTACAAGTACTATAACGAACGAACATTAATGAAACAAGGGAATGAATTTAGTTAGTTAGTTCGACCCTACATAGGGTGCTCAGGAATTATGGGAGTACTTCACAAGGTGCCCCCTTATGTTATTCTAGCCGCGCTAGAGTAAATCCAAAAATCTCCGCATGGGTTGGGTTTTTTTTAAACATTCTGTTCATTATAGTAAATTGTCTTGTATGTAAAACGGAGCGACCACAGATTACACAAACTTGTCTACGCTTCGGAGAACACATAATTCCAGTTTATCCATACTAATTGACAAAATCGATAATCGTGTTCCAATATCCAAAGCGTGTTAGATAAAAATCAATCAAGTAGCAGGGACAATCACAACGAAGTAAGACGAGTCAACTATTTGCAACTGCAAGTCCTTCAACATTCGTAAACCGTTTTGAAATGTCTCAGTAAGAGTAAGCGCAGGATGGTCGGCAGGCTTTGTCGTATATCTGGTTCTATAGTACGATATGGCATATTATTCTGATTACTAATAATATAAAATGAAGGTATTATAAAATGAATTTATTCAGCTACTTAAATATGCCCATGTGTCATATCTATTGACTACCAGGATATTTTTTACGGTGTCATATCTTGTGACTCCCAGGATATTTATTTTCGGTATCATAATAAAAAAGGCTAGTTTTTCATAGATCTATCGATTCATAATAATTACATTGTTGGCGGAGCTGGATGCGTTTTGCCCATTGTCCTTTAAGTTAAGATCAATATAAGAATTTAGAGGGGTTTAATTCACACAAGTGTTGCAGCAATAGATTCGATTTTATTATATACTAGACTATAGTACAATATCGCTATAATCGCTAAAAAAATATTAAATTGTCTAAGAAATACTAGGAGAAATTCGACACGGCCATTAGGGCCGCGCAAGCGTAATCAGTCAGCGCATCCCGCCCGGATAGCGGAGGGTTCGGGTTCGAGTTCCGTCTGCTGCCTGGACGTGAAATTTTCTTTACATTTGAACAACAGCAGTTTAATGCTTAAAATATTAATGTAATAAAGATAATTATGTTTTTATTTTTTAAGCATTTAACTGTTAGATGTTTAAATCTAAATGAAATTTTACTAGAAAAAATCCACGCGGACTGCCTTGCAGCGTAAGGCCAGAGAAAATTCGACATGGCCGTCAGGGCCGCGGTAGCATAATGGTCAGTGCATTCGCTCGGATAGCGAAGGGTCCGGGTTCGAGTCCCGTCTGCTATTTAGATTTAAACATCTAGCAGTTAAATGTTTAAAAAATAGAAACAAAACTGTAATTGCAATTACTTCTTTCAAATGTTTAATACTTGTAACGGTATTTCATTTGACATTGTGGGTTATCTACAATGCGGGAGATGGCGCTGCCTTGTAGCCTAAGGCTAAAGAAAATTCGACACGGCCATCAGGGCCGCGGTAGCATAATGGTCAGTGCATTCGCCCGGATAGCGAAGGGTGAGGGTTCGAGTCCCGTCTGCTGCCTGTTCCGCGTGGAACTTTTTCTAGTAAATTTTATTTAGATAGTAATGGTAATGTTTACTCACACTCTTGAGAGCATGCCATTCCTTGAGGGCGTTGGATAATAGCTTGATTCCTCTCAGTAGCAGTGGAGGGAGCTGCGCAGGCGGTGTGCTCACACTGCTCTCGTTAATTGTGAAGTCTTCGTCCTACGGGGACAGAGGTTCATAGTTTTTGAATTTATACTTCTTTAGGCAAAGAGGTACACCGAAAGAAAAAAGGGCAAATGAAATAATAAGAAAAGCTGGTGAAAATTGGACCACAAAAACAAAGGACAGACAGACGTGGAAAATTAATTAATTCCAGCTGCTGCATTTCGCTATCGTACATCGCGACAAAAATTTCATCCCCATCATCTTGATGCGTGGCTATCCACAACCGTGCGTTTTTGTCGAAATTTTTTACCACGTACGACAAAACTGTGGAATATATTGTCGCCAGCAGTGTTTCCGGACCGATACGACCCAAAAACCTTCAAAAAAAGAGCGTACTCCTTCCTTAAAGGCCGGCATAGCATTTGTGATACTCCTGGTGTTGCAAGTGTCCATGGGCGACGGTGATCACTTACCATCAGGTGAGCCGTCTGCTCGTATGCCAACTATAACATAAAAAAAAAATAAAAAAAATAAAAACGTGGAGCAAAATGGAGGAGGCCTTTACTCGTTGCTGGATCCATAATGACATTATTATTATTTTTTAATTTTATGACCTGGTTACAAAGACCTTTAGGTCATAACTTATTTGGTAAATGTTCATTACTTTGGAGTCACTACACTTCTCTTCACAAAATTTTGTCATTTAAATTGTTTGAATTGTATTTTTTATGTAATTATAAATAGGTTTATAGGATGTTGGATCTTTTAGTAAAACGTTGAGTGGCGGCGAGCGGGAGGAAGAAACACACTTAAATGCATTGATAACACTGAGTTCACTAGCCAGCACAAGTCTTTGAATAAGGTAACTTTGGCAATCGTAAAGCATGTGGTGGATCGTTCCTTCTTCTGCTTGACAGTGATTACATTAATTGTTTCAAACAATCCCAACCAAGCAAGGTGTGACGGCGCAATATTATGACCAAATCTCAATCTGTTTATTGTTGTAATGAAATCACGACATTCATTAGTTTTCAGTTTGTCATACCATGGTTTAACAGGTAGGTTATCTTGGATACTTCCATACCACTTTCCCTTGTATTAAATTATTAACTACTTTGCATACATAGATTATTCAAAATTTGTTTTTTGTTTTTTTTTCACAATTGTATGAAATGAAATGATGTAATGCTAATTGTAATCTAATCTAATTTATGATATTAATTGCTGTAATATTTTATTGTTTTATGCATGTATTGATGATAATTCTATGATAATTATTATTACTTCTTCATTAAGGAAATAAAGAGGCTATATTATTACTTCTTTAGATGCGTTATGAAAAAACGAGCTCGATGGCGCAGGTGGTTAGCGCGTTCGGCTGCGATCGTTGAAGTTAAGCAACTTTCGCAGTGGTCGGTCATTGGATGGGTGACCAAAAATCTTCAAAAATCTCGAACTCCTCCGTGCTTCGGAAGGTACTTTAAGCAGTTGGTCCCGGCTGCATCTGCAGTCGTTAGCACCCGCCAATCCGCACTGGACCCGCGTGGTGGGTCATGGCCCCATCTCTTTATTCCATCCATAGGGAAGACCTGTGCCCTACCAGTGGGGACATTAATAGGCTGCTGATGAGGTCTAGTACCCGATAGGGAGATTGCTCCCTATTCCATCCATAGGGAAGGCCAGTGCCCCAGCAGTGGAGACATTAATAGGCTCATAATGAATGTCTTTCAGTAATTGTTACCTGCGTTTCTTCATTATGTCGCCGTAACATGGTGAGTAGATGTGCGCCCGCATACCAATGCATAGCTTCGAATAACGGGTACCGAAACATTATGGGAGTCTCTACTCGGCGTTCTATCTCGTAGATTCTGTGAACAAAGACATTGACATTTATTTGGGAACTAGCTGTGCCACGCGATGTTACCCGCGGTTTATTAGGGATATTTTCCCGCATTAACTTTACGTAACGTATTAACGTAGCCTATGTGTTAATCCAGGGTGTCAGCTAACTCCATACCAAATTTTATTCAAATCGCTCCAGCCGTTTAGATGTGAAGAAGTAACAAACATACACACTCACAAACTTTTGCCTTTATAATATTAGTGTGATTGTGATTTGAGAAGTTTTAGAAAACGATCTCACGTTATTTATTTTGTTGTGTAAATTCAGTAAAAAAAAGTAAATTGAAAATTAAAATTTTCAAGTTGCCGCGAAAACGTTTCTCTGGACATTACCGGCGTTTCACTAGTGTGTGACGTCACACGAAGGTCATTGAAACGTCCAAATGATACAATGTCATTTTGGCCGGAAGTTTACTAACGTGTGACGTCATTATAGTCTTGGCCAATCCCAGGTTTTATCGGTCACGTGACCGTGGAGCAGAAATTATTTCTTTTTAATGATCTCATAGAAAAGTTATTATTTAAATCTAAAGAAAATATAACTAGAAAAAATTCCACGCGGACCAGGCAGCAGACGGGACTCGAACCCGCACCCTTCGCAATCCGGGCGAATGCACTGACCAATTATGCTACCGCGGCCCTCACGGACGGCGTCGAAATTCTGTCTAGCTATTTTTAAGCTGCAAGGCAGCGCCATCTCTTCGCATTATAGGTAAACCCACAATGTCAAATAAAAATTATAAAGTTATTATTTATCTGTTCTTTCCGAAAAGTAAAATCGCTGCTAATATTCATATTAAATACAAATTTTCAACGATATTTAATACCATACAACAACGTGAACAAAATCGTGGCCGAAACCTGTCCAAAAGGTACATTGGACGATCCACGGAACTCAGTAATATGATCGCGAAGTAAAAAACAATGTAAGACATTTAAACATTCAAAGTCATCTTTAATGATGATGTATAAGGTCCTAATTTAAACGCATGCGTCGAAGAGTTATGACAGTTCGAAATGCAAGCTTTTTGGTATAGGCGAAAGAATACAGACTTTATTTCTTTGACTCTACGCGTAATTTCTGTATAGGCTGTTAACAAGATAGCAGGTATGGAGCGCGAGAAAAAGGGACAAATATACAACCGTCCATGCATTTGAATATCACAAATATTTTCTATTAAATCAGTTAATGGTAAGAATTAGAACAAAATTTGCTTTAAATGCGTTAAATTATCAAACATCGATTAGATACCTGTCGAAAAAACGTCATTCGACATACTGTAAGTATTTTGTTCGCATTTTTCATGGAGCTCTGCGGTATCTTGACTTTTCAACGGTCCGCGCGTGACTGTAAACCAAGAGTACTTGAGTGATGTTCAAGCACTTCTCGATTGGGACACTTTTTGTGCGCACGTTCTGTATCCAGAGTTTTGATATCGTTGATTATTTTATATATTTTAACGTTGTGCAATTTCCTGCGCCCTTTATCTCCATAACCTAAAAACCCTAAAAGAGTGGTACATCCTAGCAACAAAAGACTATTCAAAGACATTTTGGATGCATTTTTTTTTTATTTTTATGATAGGTCCGACAAATGACTCCACCCTACCTGATGTTAAGTGACGGTGAAGTTCAGTCGCGAAGATACAGCAGTTCTACCTGCCACATCCGCCATTTACACCTGCATGTTGCTTCTTCACGCTTCTTTAAAGGATCCCAGGTTGTTAGAGGGAGGGAACACGTGAGCGGGCAGGGCATTCCATTTCCGATATGATAGTGGATAAAGGATAGTGCGGCAAAGAATTGAGTCACCAAATTTCTTTGTACGCGTTGGAAATGTGGTCACAGTTAGATTTTAGAAAGCACTCACTGTAACTGCATCTCGATGGCGTATGAATGCAGCAGGTTTCCCCCGAACACGAGCGAGTCGCAAGGCGTCAATACTGCATGTATCCACCCACTGGGTATGAATAAAGTCTGGCCAGCGCATAGTTCAGCAGTGCCGTACCATTCCACCTGAAATAAGGTGATGAGTAAATAAATAAATATTTCCAACACTCACACCAATTAGCCTAGCCCCAAAGTAAGCACTGTAAGGCTTGTGTTATGGGATACTAGGGTAACGGATAGAATACATATACTGTACACATATAAGTATATTTATATAGAAATACATATTAAACATCCATGACTGGAGTACAAATGCTCGTATTCATCACACAAACATCTGCCCCCACCGGGATTCGGAACCCGGGACCTCTAGAGTCGGCGACACCATGAAACCCGGCGTACAAACCACTCGGCCACGGAGGTCGTCAATAAATGAATAAATACCGCATAGGCCACAAAAACTTTATCAACCCCAAAGGAACTTTTTTAATATGGTGACTCTTCAACAGGCAAAATACATCCTTTAGTGTGCATTCTTAACCATTTTCTTGAACGTCTACGATAAAAGAATACCATAACTAGTTAGGTAAAAATTTATAAAAAAATCTTCTCTGTAGACAGTTATGGAAAGGATTCGGACTCGCAAACGAAACGTTATGTACAATTGTATAATATATAAAACATAAGATTGATATTTCGAAAACGAATAAGGCATATCTTTATAATTCACATGTTTGAATAACCTTATCAGTTACTTTTAAAATAGGTAATATAGAAGTAATTATCATATATATATCTCACCATGTCACCGAAGAAGCGTTCATTTTGGTTGTTAGACGCACTCCATTGTTGATACAGGGCTAAGTTTGTGGCAGTTGGTGGCACCAAATAGAATATCTGAAAACATCATTATTAAACTACTTGACCGTCACTGAAAGCTTTATATTAAGTGAAAGCTTTCAGTGAGGTAAGTATTTTAATATGCATTTTATTTCAGGTAAAATGCTGCTATTAAACTACTTGACCGTCACTGAAAGCTTTATATTGAGATAGCACTTCCGTTTCCCGTCGAATTACCATCAGTTTCCGTACTTTTATTCACCTTATATCCGGTCCAGTGGCGAAACCTGGCAGAGGCGCGGCCATTTTTGTTTTCCTAAGTTTTGACAGCGCCATATTAACTCATTGGCGTTCTGACTCCCGTCGAAGCAACACGTCCTCAATCTGAGCGATCGTTGTGAGATTTTAAAGGTTTTATTATTATTAAGTGATAAAACTGTAAGTAAAACTATTTTATTTTAACGGTTTTTGCCGTTCGTGTTATTCCAAATAGGTACTTTACTTGTCAAAAGTGAAGAATCGTAAGTAACACTATTATTCTTTTTGATAGTTTTTGCAGCCCTTGTGATAAGGGATATTTAAAACAAATATGTTAAATTGTGCATTACGCTTGTTTGAAAAAGTAATAATAAGCCGTGAGTAAAACTTAACGGCAATTCAAGGTGCGTTTTGTTTAAAAAATTAAAGTACCTACATTAAAGTAAATTTTGCAGTACTTTACGTCTGTCTTGGTCGTTTATCATAAAAACTATTTTAAGAGTGTTTTCTCTTGGTACTCTATTAATGTTTCCGTATAAGTAAATGTGAAAGTAAATTGGTAAATGTATTACAAAATACTTAATTAAATTGTTTTACAGTTTAGAGTGAAGGAATATCGGTCAATATTGACGTTTCAGCCGCCGACTGACTGGCATTATTGGCAAAAACAGCAAGATGTGTGGATCTAGTCATTATTGTTCTTCGAACAGCTGCAGTAATAATTGGTTGAATTTGTCGTCTTCTGGTATAACGAAAGCGGCATCGCTGCCTCAAGAAAAATAAGCGAGCTTGATATTCCAGCCCTTTTATTAAAAGATTGTTCGAGGGGTAAGTGAACCATGTACAATCTTAATAAGGTATTTCTAATGTCGATATGCCGTTTTCTGAACATGGCCAGCTATCAATATCTAAAGGCTTATGAATAAAAAGTTCTAACATTTTTACTGACCAATACACGTAATAAAAATTCTCATATGAGTCGTGTGACTAAACTAGGATAAAGGAACGCTCTGTTCGAAAGACATTCAACGTTTATTTTAAATGATATGCTGATGTAAATTAAAATTTATAATCATAGTCCAGGCTTTATCAACCTGGAAACAAACAACGAGGTAAAGAAGTATGATGATAATTTATGATATATCACGTTCCTGACATTAATTTTCTTTCAGCAATTGCATATTTCTAAAATAAAAATGAATCATTGCGGGAAGGCACCTGCTCAGTTAATTTTAATAACGAAAGTGATAAGATAACAGAATCGTTTCTTAGGTCTTTTACAGCTAGCACAAAGCTAAAAAGTAAAAACTAAAGCACTGCAAGAAGTTAGTGATCTCTGTGATGAAGCACCACTTAATAAGATACCATCTATGAGGTTGTTTTTATCGTATTAAGTAAGTATTTCTCATGAATTTAAGTGATTGACATTTCATCAACTTAATGAGCAACTCGCGCAGAGGCAAGTGATATTCATAAGCTTCATCTCATGAAGCCCAAGGCGTGTCAGGACATGCCCTCCCATGGCGTACCTACACATATGAGTACCAGTGGCAAATCACCCTCGCGGGGTGCATATTATATATAATTTGTTTCCACTACGTGGAATCTTATTAAATGCCTCTAATGCCTTGCCTACATATACGAGTACCGGTGGCAAATCACCCTCGCGGGGTGAATATTATGTACAATTAGTTTCCACTACGTGGAACCTTATGAAATGCCTCTAATGCCTTGCCTACATATACGAGTACCGGTAGCAAATCACCCTCGCGGGGTGCATATTATATACAATTTGTTTCCTACGTGAAACCTTATGAAATACCTCTAATGCCTTGCTTACATATACGTGTACCGGTAGCAAACCACCTTCGCGGCGTGCATATTACCAAAACTCTCTGATGACCGCCCCTCGCGGGGGCATATTATGTATAATTTGCTTCCTCCGTATGGAACTCATTATGAATAAGGACTTGCCTTCCATGGCTTGCCTACACATACAAGTATCAGTAACAAAACATCGTTGATAGAGAAATATCCTCATCAATTTTATAATCGCCCTTGTGGGGTCATATCACACATAATATATTATTTCCATTACGTGAATATCAATATATGTTCTCCTTAGAACATGTTCGCTTATGGAGTTCGTACTATTATGTAAGCACCGGTAACATACGACACTCGAGTGGAGCAAATTATGCATAATTTAACATGTAGTCTATTCGTGATTCATAATTTATTTTTGTGAACATGGGGTCTGTAAAAGTGTAAACGATTCGAAACATTAAAAATAAGTAAATTGAAAATATAATAAATGTCGCTTGACATAATTCATTACTTCCATCGCGTGGAAATCCATACATCAACGCAACGCAACATACCCGCTCATGGCTTGCGTACACACATAAGTATCGGCTATAAACTACCCTCTTAATAGACTATAAAGATCGAACATCGAATGTTGACGTACCCCGTTGGGAAGTGCAATGTACGTGGTTTTTAAGGTGTCGCATAGGCTAATTGGTGTGAAGTGTTGACTCGATCACTACGGTTGTTCTACCGTAATATATAATACATTTCAAAAGAAAAAGGAATATCGAAACAATTAATGTTTGAAAAAATTTAGTGCAGGTAAGTTGATAAATTGGGAGCTCCATAAATAATTCTTAAATAAATTTAATGGTATCGCATGCCATTCAAAAGCTTGTTTATCTAAATCCAATATATATCAATTATCAAACTCCAATCTCAAGTGCAGTACACTATAAATATGTAAAGAATTCTAAGTTTTCTGCAATTTAAGGACTATCTGCCAGATAAATAGAAGATAACATATTTTCTCTTGAAAATAACAAAAGTAAACCAAATGGGTTGCTCACTTTTGATCGCGTAATGAGAGAAACTTGCAATATTAGAAATGTCGTGTATGTGGTGTCTGAGGTGGCCAACATGATCATTTTGATATATAAGTGGTGCTAGTTACTGAAGAAAGATTGCACGATCTACCAAATTCTTGAAAGGTTTTGAAGATCATTGTATGCAATTATCCCCTTTATGTTATTTTAGTAAAAAATACTGAAAACTGTTCTTAATATTAAACTTACGCTTTCTAACCTTGCCACGACTGTCTGGAATAAATATACTTCAAACCCTACGCATAGTACATGCACACCTCATGTAAGCTGTGTAAATCTTATAAATAACTAAATCTTTATTTAGTATTAAGTAATACATATAAATGACTCAGATCTAAGAACTGAAAAACAAAAGAAAAACTACAATCAATTATAGATTCCAGGATGGCAAATGAATTTCATAAAATCTGGTCTGAACTTCGTAATAGCATAATTTATCACGGCAACCCAGCAACAATATAAAAACTATACCAGAGAATTTCGTTGTAAAAACGTAAACTTCAGAAGTTGATCGGTTTCAACATTTTTGTCATTCCGTGGGGTTGTATCAACCACTCCCTACTTCTAACAATAATTATGAATTCACTGCAATCGACCTTGCAATCACTTCCCGCCAATCTAATATGAAAGCTTAGGAAGTATAGTTGAAGAACACGGCACGATATGCTAGCACTACGCTTTTCAACATACTCTACAAAGAGCGACAGCTCTGTCTTAAACAGCTATGAGATGGCTCGGAAACGCTGGCTTGCGTGGTTGCATTGGTCTAGGAACAAGAATGTTTATCGGAATAATCCCGCAAGTTGTGGACTCTGCTCTGAACTAACACGATTTTTGAGAGACTTATTTTTAACTCGTGACTTATCTTAAAATAAGTACCATTATTTTAAATAAGTCAGTAGTTTTTACATGATATACCAATGGATGATAAGTCTAATTACCTAAGCTCACCTGTCTTGGCAAACACATATATTGAAGTCGATTGTTTTTAAAGAATCAGTCCGTAACCTACTATTCTGTGTCTATAAGTTAACTTATTTCCTTTTCTTCAATAATGTACTCGTTACATCATAATGATCTGTTTCAAATACTTCGTCATATATGTTGTTCTGAACGTCATACAGTAATTATGCTGCGTATTATTTGGTTCAGCATGTGGTACACATGACTTGTTCCTACTTCAAATTATCCCGAATCATTGTATTTGTACCGACGAAGATTAGTTTAGCCTTGTTTTGGTTCAAAACAGGTGAAAGTAGTTAAAGACAATCCGATTGGTGACTTGTACCGAATAATGGTAATCGTGTGGGACCCTGATTTTTGGTACTTAAGTAAAAAGTACAGTCTTGTAAAATGTAAGACTCAGTATCGAACAACTTTACATCTTTTTCTCGCGTTCGTACGCCTTATTTGTGATATACAAAGATACAAATGAATGCTACACAAGGAAGCGTCCGGTCATTAACAAAGCAAATATATGTAGAAGTATATATATATATACTTCGCGAGTTTTAAGCAAAGGAATATAGCGATCAGCTAATACATATGTTAAAGCTTCGTAAGCTTGAAGAAATTAAAGGCGTGATTCAAATAATATTATTTGATTCATTTTTAAGCTTACTCGTTTCTTTATACAGTTTCATATAATCTGATAAATGTTAATATTTAAATTTATCATAAATTGTCACATTGGCGTATATATCTATGTACGTGGCGATCACCAGGCGATAACAAACAGGTCTCAATATAAAGCTTTCAGTGACGGTCAAGTAGTTTAATAGCAGCATTTTACCTGAAATAAAATGCATATTAAAATACTTACCTCACTGAAAGCTTTCACTTTAAATTCTGCCTGGTGAAATAATTGAGCCAATGAGTTAATATGGCGCTGTCAAAACTTAGGAAAACAAAAATGGCCGCGCCTCTGCCAGGTTTCGCCACTGGACCGGATATAAGGTGAATAAAAGTACGGAAACTGATGGTAATTCGACGGGAAACGGAAGTGCTATCAATATAAAGCTTTCGACGGGGAATAAACTGAATGCTACTATAAAGCTTTCATAATAAAGCTTTCAGTGAGGTAAGTATTTTAATATGCATTTTATTTCAGGTAAAATGCTGCTATTAAACGTAAATTTCTATAAAGGAGTAGGTAGTATGTATAGTACTAAGCATTGGTGGTTGCTAACAATGGCAAGTAGACATAAGGAGCAAAACTGGACTAACAGATGCTCTGGAACAGGCCCTTAACCTTAAATGGAAATGGGCGGGTCATCTGTCAAGATATACTGCCAAAAGGTAGACCCTCAAGTCCACTGGATAGACTGGATCAAAAGGCAAAAGAAAAGTAAGCAGACCCAGAAAACGATGGTCCGACGATATTGTGTCTGTGGCAGGCAAAGACTGGCTGAAAGCGGGGAAAGATAGAGAAAAGTGGAAAGCAATGGGGGAGGCTTTTACCCAGATAGGATCCATGTCTGAAACTATACTAACAAATACTAAAAACCAACATAATATTTTGGTTTACTAACAAACTAACATAAATAGATATGTAACTAATAGATATGGAATAAAAAGCTTTTTATGTTTAAATCTAAAGAAAATATAACTAGAAAAAATTCCACGCGGACCAGGCAGCAGACGGGACTCGAACCCGCACCCTTCGCAATCCGGGCGAATGCACTGACCAATTATGCTACCGCGGCCCTCACGGACCGCGTCGAAATTCTTTCTAGCTATTCTTAAGCTGCAAGGCAGCGCCATCTCTTCGCATTATAGGTAAACCCACAATGTCAAATGAGAGGTAGTTATATTTTCTTTAGATTTAAACATCAAGCAGTTACATGCTTTAAAAATAATAAAAATTATAGCTTTTTATGTTATTTTATTTATAATAATGGCAAGTGATGCCGGGACCAAATGACAATGTGCCTTTCAAAGCACAGAGGACCTCAAGATAATAAATTGGTCACTTTTAATGGGTAAGATTAGCTGTGCTAGTATGTCGACCAACTATATCAAATACCCTTGATACAACAACACGAACAAAACCGTGGCCAAAACCTGTCCAAAAGGTACATTGGACGTTCCACGCAGCTCCGTAAGATGGTCGCGTTGTCAAAAACAATATAATACATTATTTAAACATTCAAAGTCACCTTTAATGAATACTGTGTAAGGTCTTAATTAAAACGCATGCGTTTAAGAATAATGACAGTTCGAAATGTAAGCTCGTAAAATTTTACAAATTATTGCTATATGCGGATGAATAAAGACCTTATTCCTTTGACTCTACGCGCAATTCTTAATGCACTGTTAGCAATATAGCAGGTACGAGCGGCGAGGAAAAGAAACTGCTATATACCCGACCATGCATTTGAATATCACAAATATTTTCTATTAAATCAGTTTATAGTAAATATTAGAACAAAATTTGCTTCGAATGCGTTAAAAACAACAAACATTGATTGGATAACTGTCGAAACAACGACACTTTACTATAAGTAGTTTTTTTCGCATTTTTTCATGGAGCTGGACCTTTCAACGGTCCGCGCGTGGCTGTGAACCAACTAGTGTTCATGTGAAGTTCAAGCACTTCTTCATTGGGTCACATTTTGAGCGCATGTGATCTATCTAAAGTACTTAATATCGTTGAAGTAGACCTTAAAATATAGATGGGTACCAGCGTATACAATGAAAACTCTAAAAATGAATATTCTTTTCCATTTTTATAACATATTTGATGCTCCCCTTGTAGTAACTGCAGGTAATGTATAGCCTTCCTATAGTTAAAGGCTTTCCATGATAAATTGAACTATTTAACGGACCAGTAGGATCCGAGAACAGCGCGTTCAATCAAACAAATAAACTTTTATGTATCTGTAGGAAGATCGATGACATCTCACCTTCCGGCCATGAAGGACGTGATACCACACCGTAGTCCCCCCAAAGTCTACATGGAAGTCGGTGTAGGCTGCGGCCGGGGACATGAGGCAGTACTTCTGCACCGCGGGCCGCGGCCGGCCTCCGCTCGCGGGCCACGCGCGCACCGCCCAGTCCAGGCGACGCGCCATCGACGGGGGCTCCACCAGGGTGGACATACTGAGGCCACAATTATACTATACGTTACTACCGCTTCGGACTTTATAGGATACTAGCGGCCCGCCTTCGCTTCGCTTCGGTGTATAGCTGAAGTATAGACTACAGTTTTTGTTCTCAGGCTTGTATTATACACAATGACATTCATCTATGATTCTTCTTATACCTGCAGCAAAGTCTCAGCCCGATCGGTTTAAAATTGACAAAGTTTCATACAAACTTTTATTCCCTATTTTATCCCCTTGAGGGTAGAATTGATCAAAATCCTTTCTTAGCGGATGCCTAAGTCATAACATCTACCTGCATGCCAAATTTCAGCCCGATCCGTCCAGTGCAGTGGTTTGGGCTGTGCGTTGATAGATCACTATGTCAGTCAGTCACCTTTCAGTTTTATATATATAGAAGATATTATCCAGACTTGAAGGAACCCTAATGCTCGAACTATAATATAGCGCCGCTCCACCCAGTCGCTAGACAACGCGCGATTAGGTTTCACCAGGGCGGACCAACTAGGGCCACAATTATACCATACGTTACTAACTACCTATGCAAACTTGAGGAATCTATTGCGGGGGCTATACGATCGCGTGACATACTACCCAGTTCAGGCACCGCGCGCTTAATAGAGCTCCAGACAGACGCGCCCTTAATAGACAAGCTGGGGCCAAAATTATACGCAGACTTTAAGGAATCTAATCTAATCCTGACGTCACACTTATGCAATAACACAAGCGGACATATGCCAGTCTCTGCTAGCAGGCCACGCGCGTGCCGGACAGTCAAGGGGACGCGCCATCGAGGGGGGCTCCACCAGGGTGGACATACTGAGGCCACAATTACACTATACGTTATTTACTACCTATGCAGACTTTAGGAATCTATTGCGGGGGTTATACTAGCGCGCAACATTCTGCCTAGTTCAGGCACCGCGCCATTAATTCGGGCTCCACCAGGGCGGACATGCTGGGACCACAATTATACCATACGTTACTTACTACCTATGCAGACTTTAGGAATCTATTGCGGGGTTTATACTAGCGCGCGACATTTTGCCCAGTTCAGGCACCGCGCCATTAATGGGGGCCAAAATACTATCATACGTTACTACCTACGCAGACTTTAAGGAATCTAAACCTGGGGTCGCGCCATTGAGGGGGGCTTCGCCAGGGAGGACATACTGGGGTCACAATTATATCATACATTACTCCCGTTTTGTATTTCTCGGAAACTAATCCAGACGTCACATTAATGTGATAACACAAGTGGATATATGCCGGCCACTGCAAGCAGGCCACCGCCCAGTTCAGACGAGGCGCCATTGACAAGGGCTCCATCAGGGAGGACATACCAGGGGCCACAGTTATACCATACATTACTACCGCTTCAAACTTTACGTACGCTTATCCAGGTGCCACACTAATACGATAACACAAGCGGACATATGCTGTGCCGCGCGTAATTGGAGGGGGCTCCACCAGGGCAGATATACTGGGACCACCGTTATACCATATGTTACTACCTAACTAACTTTATGGAATCAATTGCAGGGGCCACACCTCTTCAGACTTCAAAGGGGACTATACTGGAACTCTGCTATACTACTGCGACGCTCCGCCCGCTTTAGGTGACGCACCATAAAGGGGGCTCGATCAAAGCAAACATATTTTACAATATAGAGGAGATCCCTGGCGGGTACTCGAGCTTCGCTAAGTCCAGGCGACACGGCATCAATTGGGGCTCCAGTCACGTGAACCAATATGTCCTGTCTGTTGCAATGGATAAATTTGGCCACAACACAAATTAAACATTTTGATAAACAGGACTTTAAAGGTGAAAACACACAGTGCGATTTACTCCCGTGCCCGCCGCGGCTACGGAAACGCAACTCGCTTAGAATGTGATATTGTTAAAAGACAAAAGGCATTCACGGAGCGATTTGCAGAGAGCATGGGTACTTTTGAGTTCTTAGCCTAAACGTGCAGATCGTTATTTCGAATTCTTATAAAACTCAGATAAGATTTTCACCATGCACAGCACAAATACTTGTATTTCATAATCGAGTGAAATAAAAATTACACTATCTGCAATATAATGAATGGATTTAAAACTCACTTTGTGTCTGAGAACTCAAGGCTTAGCACATTGAGCACCTTCTCATCTCGATGTTCAGGTGGTGTTTCAAAGTAATCAACAAAATCACCCAGGGACATACGCAAAGTAGATTGTTTACGAACATCTATGACCTCCACCTAAAATGTAAAACGAAATCTTCATAAGTAAATTACGAAAATAACCCTTTTTTACATAATTTGAAACTTCACATCACACAATAATTTCACGCATGTTAGTTAAACTTTGAAATTGGATACACAGTAGGAAAATATACAAAATAACCAATTTGAGTACATATTCAGCACTTAGAAACCTTAGAGCACTTTCCCATTTTGTTGTGATGGATAATTTATAGTTGGACTACTGTTGACTCTTGCTGTTCCCATAATATCAACTGTTTATTGTTACTGTAGCCGAAATGTTTTATCACTGAATAACTGTCATGTCACAATCCAATGGGAATCTAGCTGTTCCCATTGGACGTGACTACGTAAAAATGTTGTCATGGTCCAATGGATATATGATAAGTGGCTATAGTTAGCCGCGAAAACGATTTGCCGTCACGATAACTCATCACGTTTTTTATATCGTTATACGACTGTCGCTTTAGCCATTCATATTGACTTGCCAATGTGTCGTCACTGATTTCCAAAAAGTCGTGGACGACAGTTAGTCGTATCGTCTTATATGTGAACACCTCTATTGAAATATACTAGCCGCGACGCTTTTTAATTAGATATTAATCTGTCATCACCATATAATGAAAACATGTACTTAGAAAAATGATCTGAAAGCAAGTTATTATTCAAATGAATAATAACTAAATAATATAAAATAAATTGAGGAGCTCGATGGCGCAAGTGGTAAGCGCGTTCCGCTGCGATCGTTGAATTTAAGCAACTTTCGCGGTGGCCGGTCATTGGATGGGTGACCGAAAATTTACTATCTCGAGCTCCTCCGTGCTTCGGAAGGCACGTTAAGCCGTTGGTCCCGGCTGCATCTGCAGTCGTTAGCACCCACCAACCCGCACTGGGCCCGCGTGATGGGTCATGGCCCAATCTCCCTATTCCATCCATAGGGAAGGCCTGTGCTCCAGCAGTGGGGACATTAATAGGCTGATGATGATTCAAATGAAAGCATTAACATACCTCTAACTGAGCTCCACAGAACCGCAAAACCGATCTTACAGTGAAAGTGGCTGGGTTTGGTGTCTTCATGTCTAAGCCTTCCGAAGTGTGAAATATAATCGGTCTGTTGAATCCATCGTCTCTGACAAACTCCTCTGTGAAATACTGGCCCCTCATTTTTTGTAACGCAGCCGGAGCTGGTCTGAGGGGCCGCGCAGCTAACGCTCGCACCCATGCTGGAGTACCCACTTGGGAGGGTCTAGTCTCAGCACCTAGCTCATACCGATCAGCGCGATGATTGTTTGTAGGAATTTTCACTAAAATAATAATCAAACATTTTATAATACATAAACCTTAGGATTTTAAACATACATGTTATTTTTTCTGAATATTTTTATCAATCAATTAATCATTTATTTATGATTGGCATTTATCATTGTGACAAAAAAATAAAAATTTGACTTTGTTAACAATGTGTGAAAAAAATATATGGTATTATATGGGCAAGGCATAATGCAGCCGGAAAATCAGATTCTATTCAGATTTCAGATTAGAACATGATGACATAATAATATATTCTTGTATTAGTGCCACTTTTTCAACTGTGAAGGTCATCATATCAATGTGTCATCTCACAAAAACTAAATAGCGACTCCTTTAACGATGTATTGTGTATACAATGCAGAATCTATTTAATAGCATTGATAGATCACCTATCTACACATAGATTTCAAGGAAAAATTTATAATTCAATTTCTTGACCTAAGATCCACAGATCAGATACTTTTAAGCAATAATTAGTCAAGTATGATATATACTAAATAGTCAAAGTTGCTATAGTGATTAGAGTGCAATAACAATTTTTATTGAGCATAAGCAATATTTGTCTGAAAGTAGCATCTAACTAATGGCTTATTTATGGCAGAAAATCATCTCTGTTTTATGTTGAATTTTTAACATGAATTCAAAATGGCATTATACAATCATATAATGAAAATGATTTTAAATTTGTATTTTTAGCTTGTTACGTTTATTTTACAGCTTTGGCAGACTTGCTCTATATCAGTACAAAGACTAAATGTCTTCTATATATGTCTATATATAAAACTCAAAGGTAGACTGACTGACATAGTGATCTATCAACGCACAGCCCAAACCAGTGGACCGATCGGGCTGAAATTTGGAATGCATGTAGATGTTATGACGTAGGCATCCGCTAAGAAAGGATTTTGATCAATTCTACCCCAAAGCGAAGCGAGGGCAGGCCACTAGTCTGTCTATAAAACTATAAAGTTTGCTGTTTTCAGTCTGTGACAGCTTTTGAACCTTTTATCTGTTGAAAGTATAAATGTACCAAGGCAAGCTTATCTGCTGCTTAGCATTTACATGATTTTAGGAATATTATGTGTAAACACAAGATTGTATTTCAGTACTTACACACTGATGGGCCATAAGTTTGAGCACATTTTGGACAGTGATATTTATCAATGTCATCCGAGTGGTATATCTTTACATCGACGCAGCTGAAAATAAAAAACAAATACTATAGCCATAGTAAATTCTGAACTCAAAGTGTAATGTGGTTTTGAAGCAACAGGATTGGAATAACGAAGGAAAAACATGCAATAACAAAATCCGACCTCTGAGTATGAAATCCTATTTGGTTTGTAAAGGAAAACAAGTAAATACTGAATAAACAAACACAAAGAGATGCGCTCCTGCAATCAGGTGTCCAATGGTGACCAAATATGTAAACAAATCAGGCGAAACGCAAATTCAGCTCAAAATTCTCTGAACAGTAACACAACAGTTAGACCGGGTTATTTAGTGCTTTAAATATCAACAACAGTTGAATTACAGGCGAATACTTCAACAAAACATTTGTACGAAAATGATGGCCGAACAGCGAGATGCTGTCAAACTTGTACATTGGTTTTTTAACACGCAACGAGGTTTTCACTTAAACATTTATACATAATCGACATTACCTTCCGTGGAACCATTCACGACAGCAATCACATTCTATCATAAATTGTCCAATATTATATGGTTGACCACACAAACAATAGGTTTCCTTCGATGACGCCATCTTGACGGCGAATAGACAATCTTTTTCTTTTTTCTCCACGTCGTTTCGACGGTTTTGGGTAGCAATAGATTGGCCACTTTGTGCATAGACAAAGCTGCAAATCTTTTTATTACGTTTTGAAGCAGAATGTCATAGTATTTATTTAGTTAGGTACATACAATGTATACATCAACAGCCTATCTTAGTCCACTGCTAGACATAGGCCTCTCCAAATGCACGCCACTTAGATCGATCTTGGGCTACTCGCATCCAGCTCCTGCCAGCCACCTTGCGCAAATCGTCACTCCATTGCGCCTGAGGACGTCCTACACTACGTTTGCCTAGACGCGGTCTCCACTCCAGAACTCGTCTACCCCAACGGTTATCGGTTCTTCGACAAATATGGCCAGCCCACTGCCACTTCAACTTGCTAATCCGGTGGGCTATGTCGATAACTGTGGTTCTCTGCTGGATTACCTCATTTCTGATGCGATCCTTCAGAGAAACCCCGAGCATAGCCCTTTCCATAGCGCGTTGAGCGACTTTGAACCTGTGGACCAGCCGTACCGTCAGTATCCACGTCTCGGCTCCGTATGTCATCACAGGTAGGACGCACTGATTGAAGACTTTCGTCTTTAGACACTTGGATGATCGACGATGTCAGGTCTTGACGTAACTTCCCAAACGCTGCCCAACCTAGCTGAATTCTTCTATTCACCTCGTCCTCAAAGTTGTTTCTCCCTAACTGCAATGTCTGCCCGAGGTACACATATTTTTGAACAACTTCGAGAACGGCACCGTGTATTGCAATCGGTTCCTGTAGAACATGTTCATTGAACATGACCTTGGTTTTATCCAAGTTCATCCGTAGGTCGATGCGTATAAAAGAGTCAGCCAGGTCATTCAGCATCTGTTGTGGTCCTGCAGGGTTTCTGCCATGATGACGATGTCGTCTGCAAATCGCAAGTGAGAGATGCGTTCGCCATTTATGTTGATGCCACGTCCTTTCCAGTTCAGCGTCTTGAACATATCCTCCATTGCATTAGTGAACAATTTCGGGGAAATAACGTCCCCTTGTCTCACTCCACGATGCAATGGTATGGGACTTGTTTGCTGATTCTGTACTTGGACAGACATGGTGGCGGCTTCGTACAGACATCTAATCACTTGGATGTATCGCCAGTCGACTTGGCAACGCTGCAGGGACTCCAGAACAGACCAGATTTCAATCGAGTCAAAGGCCTTCTCATATTCCACAAATGGTAGGCACAGGGGCTGATTGTACTCTTCAGTCTTCTGTATAATCTGCCGCACTGTGTGAATGTGGTCTATGGTGCTGTATCCGCTCCGAAACCCAGCCTGTTCCGGTGGTTGGAAGTCATCAAGTCTTCGCGCAAGACGGTTCGCGATCACTCTTGAGAACAGCTTATAGACGTGGCTTAGAAGGGATATGGGTCGATAGTTCTTAAGTTGGGTCTTGTCCCCCTTTTTAAAGAACAAGACCACCACACTCCTACTCCACGCCTCCGGAGTTTTCCCTTCGAACAGGACAGTGTTGAAAAGCTTTACAATGTATACACTAAAGATTAATGTTGATGACTTGGATACATCTATGAGTATATAAGGAATACATAGAGTGTCGAAGACAACGATAAATACCCTAGATACACCAACACGAACAAAATCGTGCCCGAAACCTGTCCTTAAGGTACATTGGATGATTCACAGCGCTCCGTAACATGATCGCGTAGTCAAAAACCATATATGGCATTATATAAACATTGAAAGACACCTTCAATGCATACTATATAAGGTCATAATTAAAACGCATGCGTCAAAGAGTTATAACGATTCGAAATGCAAGCTCGTAAAATTTTACGACTTATTGCTATGTGCGGAAGAATATAGACCTTATTTGTTTGATTCTACGCGCAATGCTGAATGCGCTATTAGAAATATAGCAGGTACGGACCGCGAGGAAAAGAGACAGTTATACGGTGACGTTTAATCGTCCATGTATTTGAATATCACAAATATTTCATATTAAATCAGGTTACGAGTTTTGAGTCGAAAAAACGACACTATACATAGTATAAGTATTTTTCGCATATTTTCACGGAGCTCTGCAGCAACTTGACTTTTCAACGGCGCGCGCGTGACTGTGAACCAAGAAGTGCTTAAGTGGTGTTCAAGCACTTCTTGATTGGGACACGTTTTGAGTGCATGTGGTGTATCTAGGGTATTTAATATCGTTGTTGGTCGTAGAGCAACATGGCCGACGCGGCCTCTGTGCTTGAATACGTCGATTTCAATTAATCGAATTTTCACTAGTAATACACAAATATTATTATAAAGAATATAACTAATATAATATAATAGATGAATAAGTGCTTAAACATTGCAACATTGCTTACGTACCTTCTCGATGTGTTGAGCACACCAAGCTTCTTAGAGGCCAAATTGGCTTCTAGTTTTCCACAACGAAGTTATTGGGGGTGTATAAAATGATCTGAGGCCCAAACACGAAGTTTTGACAGCTCCGTAACATATCGTCATCTTCAATTTTTTTATGGAGAAAGCTAGTTTGTTTAACATCAGGGGCGCTGCTTAGTTTTTAAAGAAACTTTAACGATTAGACTTAGGCGATACGTTGCGGAGCTGTTCAAAATTCTTACTCAGGCCTCTGAACTGTTTCGAGAAAGTATGACCGTGCCATTTTTGTTGATCGACTTGGCGGCGGCACTGGCGTGCCCTCAGATACTGCGACTGTATACGAAATACGAAGTGTCAACACCTAGTGTCTTAACGCTAGCGGAACACCTCGGGGTGCAACGATTGGTTGCTTCTGCACGGTGATTGTGCGAACTTTTTAAAAACGAGACGTGGTTCAGCTTTCCTATTCGGAGTACTCGTATCTCCCCAGAGAGTGCTCCACTATAGAAGTTCAGATACAAAATTCAGTACCTACCTATGCCAAGCGTCATACGTGCTGTCATCGAATAAAATGAATACCTACCAAGCGTAAGCCCAAAACTGATGTACAATCTATACTTACTACGTACGCAAAATGAACCGAATAAAATTATTATATAATATTTCTTTCGTTCTTTAAAATTTTGGTAACGCCTGGCAGCAGAAAACAGCAAAGTTACCGATCACTTCATATCTGCCATGCATATTTACAACGGGTCGCCGAGGCCCCGATCCCCGGTCTTTTTATGCAGAAGACTTACAACGCACTACGTGTGCAGTATAATAATGCTATACTCCGCCACGGCAGCCCCAACAGCAGTTGGGGCTGCCGTGGCGGTACAGCGCGTCAGGTATGTAATATGTTTACTGAGGCGCGAAAAAATGACTTCTAAGTTCTATGCAATAATGCGCAAAAAAAATACTTTTCTCATGAAGTAGAGTTTGCGACAGCCACAATAGCATCTTGAAGGTTGTAGGGGTAGGTCCGACTGTCAGTACATAAAGAATTTAATAAAATTAAATGAAATTATAATGTAATAGTTTTTATTTGTTGACATTTGTAATTTTGTATTTATTATAATCAATATGTACCTAGTTTTAATTATTGTTTTTAATTCGCAATTTGTGAGCTGCTATTATTATTGTTCTTCTTTTGATGTAATTTATATGGCTGAAATAAATGAATTCAATTGAATGTCAAGGACCGTTGGTAGTGTTTCTAATTCAACGACCACCGCCACTGCCGGATTTAGGGGAGGGCAACCGGGGCGAAAGCCCCGGGGCCTCCACAAACGGGGGGCCCCCACAATAGAGACTTCGGAAAAAAAAATCTTTCAAATTCCAACTAGTAAACATCTTTTCCTTTGATATTTTTTTTGCTCTTTTACCTTTACCCAGGGCCGTATTTAAGGCAGGGCAGCTGTGGCTGTGGCCCAGGGGCCTCCACAACAGCTTAAGAAAGCATACAAATCCTAAGTGGCCTGGGGCCTCCACAATCCTAAATCCGGCCCTGACCACGCTGTAATATGTATATAAATTACGCGTCACGTTGTTTGTCCGGGATGGACTCCTAAACTTCTTAACCAATTCTAATCAAATTTGCACACCATGTACAGTTTGTTCCAACTTAAAAGAAAGGATAGCTTACATCGCAATTTATAGTCGCAATATTATTTTATTGCAAATTATTACTTTTGGGCGGTACGAAGTTCGCTGAGTCAGCTAGTAGCTTATAGATATTTGTAATGCCTGTAGAGGTAATTGACACCTACTCGTATGTGCTGTCTACCCTGCGACCACCTCCTACGCCGTAGAGCTCTAGAAACGTCACGCACTGCGGGAGTCATAAATAAATAAAATAAATATTTCCAACACTCACACTTATAGACCGGGAGATGATGACACAAAATACTTGGTCATTTGTACCAGTATGGCGGTTCTTCAGGGGTCTAATTACGTAAAGGCAAAAAGGAAAATGATGGTCATAGCGCTCGCACCGGCGCGGCGGCCCAATCGCGTGGGCGTTAATCAAACGCGTCGGATAAATAACGAGTGTCGAACGATTTGTTCCACAAAAATGCTTATATTTTCAGATAGTCGAAAAAAAGAAGTAGGCGGTAGCGTAATGCCATACTTCTCGGGTGTGACTTACAGCCCGCCATACCGACGCGAATACATTAATTTAAATAAAACAATTCAACCATTTGTACCAGGCTAATTTTTGCACAACTAATCATCGTCGAGTAGCCATTCACGAAAATCACCTTGCCATACTTTTCCGACAGTTCCCAATGACCGCCATACCGCTGCAAAGGAGTATTTTTTTTTTTCGCCAAACGATTTGCACCAGTATTGCATTTGAATTTTTGGAAAGTATTTGGCAAAATGTGACCGTTATTATTTTTCCCATACTTCTAGTAGGGGGAAAAAGTGCTGCCATACTTGAAATACTTATTTATTTGACACGTTTTAAAAATACGACTGCAAAATACGTAAAATCATTTTTTACATCATGACATCATTGTATTCTCGTCATTTGGATGCAATTGTACGTAAAAAAATTATTACAGATTG